TGAAGGGCACAAACAATCACTGAAATCAGCTCTCACAGCTTTCGTTTTCGGTACAAATGAACCAGCTACAGCATTCATATGTCTGTGGTTGAGTATGTTTTCGAAAAGAAAACACGATAGGTTAACTGTAAATATGTATCATCATCAAGAAGTGTAGCGGTGATATTTTGTTTGTTTATTTGCAGTAAAAAACGACGTTAGACGGACAGTGCTCACGTTGCCGCGGTAATCTCGCTAATAACGGTATCTGTGATCTTATAACGAGATCATCCACAAAATGACCTCCATCGTTAGTCCAAACGGGTTTTTTGAATTCTGTCAAGGGATTTAACTTGGTTATTTTGCGCTTCAAAGCTGCAATACGCATTATTGGAAGTCGACGATGTCGGTGTTTGTCTATCAACTTTCATTTGTTTTCCCAATTGTTGCTATTACTATACTCAAATTTATTATTATATCTACTATATCTGCAACAACACTCTTAAATGGTGGAGGATAATCAATTTAAGTTCCGTCACATTAAGATGTAGCTGCAGAAATATGACTACGCCCTGGAGTATTTAACTGGGGACGACATAGCTGCTGCCCATGGGGTCGTCCGCAATTTTCAGGTACCAGACTGCCAGGATTGTCTGAATTTAGTGATTCTCAGACATTTCCTCCCATCGAAAAAGGAGTGACTGAGGATCTTATTAGCAGGTCACACCCTGAGCGATGCTGCGTCAAGCCACCACTACACGTGACTTTACTATTTGGCAGGAATTATGACAACGGATCCTGTACTGCGTCTCGAATCCCTGACAGCGCACATTAGGCCTACGATCACTGCTCTGCTGAGGACACGCAAATTAATGGGTTGCCATCATTGCAAATAAATTAAGGCCCGAACTAACACATCATGTACGAACGTAGACCTCTATGCTACTCTCCCACAAGCTTAAAGAGACCGGAGTTGCTGTATTCACAGCTATGTCAATTTGAGGTACAGTTCTTAAATCCTATAACGCCAAGGCTGTAATTACTCGCATCACATAAACAGCTACCGAGAAATACAAACATTTTAACTACAATATTCTACTAAATATCAAGAGCAACTGAAGAAAATTTGTGTTCTGCCAGTCTTCACATAGCATATGAATGGTGCAATGCAGATGCATGCATATGAACAATGAATAAAACTCGAATTGTGTAGCATGGATAGCAAGGCAGATTAATTAGAGATCACCAATGCTGAACATTTTATATACGTACAGAAGTTCAAGTTGCTATATTACACTTTCACAGAGATACCGTTTGAAATTTAAATCTTATGGTGATGCAGGTAATAGAAGTAAAAGCGGTGATCGCGAAGATACGGATTGAAGATGTAGAGTAGATTCCATTGATGCATATTTAGGGAGAGAAAATAGGTATCAAGAGTTGAAAAGCCAAGGCTTCGAGAGGAGACAAAACAAGATGCACATACGTCAATGTAACTAAATGACGCTATGTAGTTCAAGGTCAAAAGAAGGAAACATAACCCATTCCATGTGTCAGTTACTTCATGGAATTGTACAATGCTGCGATCTGTCTGTCCCTTACCTTTGTTCCTTCTAACCTCTGCAACATGACACACTGCTTGTTGAATCAGTAGGCGGTTATGCAGGAACAGCACATATCCTAACCACGCAAAATGATGAACCTGCAACACTTACTGTGTTTATTTTATTCTTACCTAAAATTTTTTTCTAACAACAGCAATGCTTACTCAATGGGCTGAGTATGAACGATCAATGTTTCGAATACTGGTAGCTAACGACTATCCCAGACGGGTAATGTCCGTGTTTCACAGCCATAAAGTTGGATGTAACGAACTGCCGTGCAGTAGATTCGTCTGTCGGTTAGCAGACGGATATATCTACGTCTTCATAAGTGATGCGATTCTAACATAGCCAGTCGATCTCTCTAGATCTCTCTTGAGATTTCGTCAGCACTGATAAGACTGCTGAGATGAGAGACGTCGTTTGAATGATTAAATGCTTCACTATTCATCACTGGATCAGGTACCGAAGCAATTCAATCCTGAAAGTTTGCTTTTTGAGCAAATAGTCATTGGATATAAAACCAATTTGTTTTACAGTGCTTTCAAAATTTTAATAGCCATTTTCGATTCGTGGCAGTCCGCACATTTGAAGGGTGTTTCGTGAGGATTTTGAAAACGAAATCGAGTAAGCACTGGTCTGAGAGACCTGTGAGCATGATCAAAGTAATCACAGAATGACTGTCTGATTCCGCTTACTCTTGACCGACAAAACGATTGGCAACACTCAATGAACATAAACATTCCAGGTTTCCCGTTGTTGATCAAGAACAAACTGATCTGCTACAATATATATATTTAAGAATTATTTCATGACCTACTCAAAAGATGAGAATATTTGTTTTGCAAAGAGTGTGCACCTGTGAAGGATGAGTGAATGAGCTTTCACCCCTTTGTAACTACGAACTTACATCTTCACCATGTACGAGGATCACAAGGAATATTCTGAGAATTATTTCTTTTCAAAAACAATGACTGAAAATTGAAGTGAAGGACAGAATCATGTTGGTTTTCTTTCCACACAAAGGAACGATATACTTGGTTAGAGGGCTGTACCGGTTCTCCTCAGGTACTAAGGGCTAGATAGATAAACTGACTGAAGCAATGCTGAAACTGCCACACCCTCAGTTTCATCAGAAACTATCAGCTGGAGATTTCAACTCCTGTAGTGGCACACTTTTACGAAGGGAACACAGTCGCTGAAATATAAACATTTATTATTGTACTTAATTCTGACAATAATTGTTATATTGTACAGCTCTTGTTTGTCTGTACTTAAGACTATCTCTGGCGTGCCAAGCGTGTTATTCCCGTTCAGTTATTCGTGCGTCTCCTGCGTGGACGTCAGCCGTTTGTACGTTCTCTGGCCTCGATATTGTTTCGACATCACGAGGCTAGCGCTAAATATACTTCCTCTAGAATAGCCTTTCACCTGATTACTATGGTAACGGGATTAACATTTGTTATCCTTCGATGAAGTATTATACTTCGATTCGCTATAACCCTAACTCTAAATATAAGCAAACACGGCACCACTCCCACTGGTTGGTTCCAAAGACGACCTGGCGCAGCCATTGAGAAACAGATGCAATACTAAAGTTCGAAGTGATAGGAAACGCTTTCAGGTGAAGCTAGCTGCCCAAATATAGGCAAACCCTAAGCATCTGTTTAGGTTCATGGCAAAAAGAAAACCTACGAATTAGCGTGTGTTCCTTAAAAAGTCCGGATGGAGAAGACCTCACCAACCTAAAGATTGATAAGATATTCAACACAAACTTCACAGATCAGTTAAATCAGGTATCCACATGTTCAGAGTACCATACAAACCTAGTGCCAGCTGATGGCTAATGAAATATCCGTATTACACCTAACTTAATACTAAGGAAACTGACTAAACTACTTTCAAATGAGGTAGTATATGGATAAGAACAAAATACTTCATGAAGCTCGACACGGGTTTCGGAAAAGCTGTTCGTGTGCATCCTGCATGGACCAAAAAACACCAGTGCATATAATACTTCTAGGCTTTGAAATGCCTTCGACCAAGTACACCACGCATTCCTAATCTGGAAAGTTGCGGAAATGGGCTTCACTGACCCACTCCTATCTTGTTTCAGAAACTGCCTTGAGAATAGAAGGTTTCGCACCAATGACTTACACCCTCACTGGAAGTCCACTAACTAATGTCACCTCAGAGCGTAATTTCGGTTTAATAACCACTAAAAGCCTTCACACAAAGACACATGCAAACCCACAACTGGAGGTTCACAACGTCGTCACATCCCGTCTCCTTAAATGGACATAAATCTCTTGGATCGAGTGCAGAGATGAGCAGCGAAATGGGCGATAGGGTTGCAGAATAAAACTTACGAAGATAGATTCCAGCATTCGGGATTATTCCCCCTAAATTACAGGAGAATCAGAAGTGATCTGAATATGTCGTACAAACTATTATGCACGCCAAACCATCCCTACGTGATCATCTTACCAAAGAATTACAACTATGCCCCTCGAGGTAACTCTCGAAAAATTGCGCATCAAAGAGTGAATATTCAGGTTCGTGCACACTTTTTCATATTGAGAGTCATCGCAACTTGGAATGCTCTCCTAGCGGGGGTTACCACAGCTTCTTCAGTAGACAGCTTTAAGGAGAGACTTGATAATCACATACGGATTATCATCCCCGTCTTGGACAAGCTGCGCCTGATGTATGCAATGAGACTTGCTAGTCGTCATTATTGCCATCTCCTCAGATGACTAACTTAATATATCTAGCTTATTATCTCTGTTTCCCCTCCCTTGCTTAGACTTCTGTTCTCTTGCACAATCTACACTACCAATTAATAAACTAAATTATCCATTATTTACTTAGTCCTGAAACCTTACTCTTATAAGCATTAGATCTTTCTTCTTCTTATTCTCCACATTGCAACAAACCGATCTCCGACCTAATAATGTGATAGCTGCTGGTATCCCGAAACCATACTTCCCTGAACCAAACGTACTTAATCTAATCACGAGATATGCAAACTCACAAACAACTACCAACTGACTCGAATTAGGCAGTCGGGTGGTCAGACCTCCATCCATTGGACACTAACAAACACTTGGAACCGTGCAGAAGGAACAAGAATAGAGCGCAAACAAACCAGTTGGTTTGTAACGCATTCGAAACCTTAATCTATCAATTCCTAGTCTCGTTTATCAGTTTTTCTTAATCTCACGCTGGCTTTATATCTGGTTGCTGTCTATTTATTCGTATATTGCATGTAAATTCTATGTGCTTACTGAGTCGTCGGCTCACCTTTTTCTCCTGTTCTTTCTTCTTCCAGATAATCTCGTACGCTGCTCCTCACATCCCCCCTAGCACACAAGGTACCTCCTGGCTAGACGCAAACCAACCAAAGGCTGAAGTTACACGTTGGATATTGGACCTGCTGTCTCTTGCACGAGTGCCACTTTTGAAATGCATCGCAAGTGGTATGAAGTAGTTAATTATTTTCAGAAGGTGGGTCATTTTTTGAGTTACCCTTGTCTTTTGGTTACTCTATCTTTACTAAATGTGTGTCCAAAAATATTTATGTTTTGGACTCAATGCAAATTTATGTGTAACCACCCCAAATAAACGAAAATGGAGAAGTGAAGAAAAAATTTGAGGAAATACAGACAACATTGGCTAAGATAATTTGGTGTAAAATCAGTCGACATTGCGTCATAATGTTACCGCTCTCGCCTAAGCTGGGAAAATAACGATACATTTAGCCTGAATGTCTTAGAAGAGGCTAAAGATATTTACAGTTTTTTGGTCGCCAAATATTTTGATTTTCGCATAAATTAACTCCAGTTAGTCTCCTTTTTGCATAATTGGTTCACATGAAGTGTAAAAATGAATGTTTCGTCTTCATTTATCCAAAGCTCGACTCTTTCCTCATTTTTTTTAATTACGTTTATATATTAAGGTCAATGACTAGAACAAACCGTTTTATGCGAACATAATCCGAATCTTTTCTGTTAGCTAACTAGTAGAGGTTTGACTTGAAAGTGTTATCTGTAGTCATTGAACATGTGTGTTTCTCATTGGTGTGAGGCTTCCCCTCAAAAACCTTCGTATACCTACAGTTTGTTCTGTGGGATTTAAATAACAGCAGAAAAGATGACATGTAACCCTGGAGTGTATTGCATAATGTTTACTTGCTACGTCGCCCGAATCACACAGAAATCAATCGCACTGTCTTACGACAGACCCGAATAAACCTTCACACACAAACGTTAGTACAAACAGGCACCAAAATATTTATACGTCGCACAAATCAGGAAATTTGTGTAAGCTGGGATACTGTTCATATGCACAAAGCAAAACAAGTGGTTTTCCTAAAAGGATACGCACCGAGCATTCGACTTTTAGGTCTTATCCACAAAGCAGTGGAGCAATGTTAGGAGATGCAGTCTCATAGTAGTCAGTGACCAACAATAGGTTCATATGTCAATGTTTCCATCAAGATGCTGGAGTCCATGTACACCATTAGTTTGGGATCAGGAATTTCCAACTCTGCTAGATGGATCCTGCGTACCTACCAACTAGATTAAAGCGCCGGACAATGACTTTTCGTCCTCCTAGTTTCGTGAACACTAGCCGGTCAAGAGAAGATATTGAATAGAATTTCCATTGTATTGTTTTATTCACGTATTCATATGAGAGCAAACTCTCCACCCTCATCCGTACCAGAATATTTGGGGACACTTTACTGCCCTCATTCGCGGTTAAATGTCTCACCTTTTAAATTCTGATGTGCATAGAAACATCAAAGTTTCACGGTAGTGTACATGAATCTAGAAGTATGTGGAAATTTGAAGAACCGATACATATACATCGTTTCTGGATGGTTCAAACCTACTTTAGATTTCTGGACCTCAGATTGAAGTTGCAAAAAAAAATGTTCAGAAATTCTGCAACCTCCAGCGCTGCTTAAACTGCTATTAGTGACTTCATAAGTCAATACCATGTCTTTGACTTATTTAACTTATCAACATACTCTCATGCTAGGTAATCTGACGTCATTGGCAGTGATAGAATAGATGTAACACATCACAACCCTTCATTTGATAAAGGTTCACAACTAATAATCTTCAGCGAATAGTGAAAAGATATTTCACACACAACAACAAATGCTGGGGAAGATGTCTAGTATAGCAGCAGTCTCTGCAGCAGTAGGCCTCAACATACACAAGAGAATAAGCAACATCCTTCGACTCAACGCAGCACAAACCAAATAAATCACTTTTGACGGAGAAGCTTTGCAAGATGTGGAAACCTTTATATGTATGGACAGCATCATTGATAAATAAGGTGGTTCTGATGCAGATGTAGCGACATGGATTAACAAAGCAGTGTCAGCATTTCTACAATCTATCAACATCTAGAACTCAAAGCAGTTTTCAACCAATGTCAGTCACAATTTTCAATACGAAGGTCAAGAGCGTTCTATTGTATGTGGTGGTTCCTCTCCTCAATTCTATTTCACTAGATTATACCCCTTGAATAACATCTTCAAACCCTATTCTTTCCGACTGCTGCTCATACTTTTACTACCTCTACGACTATGAGGTTTGACTCGACAATTGCATCTTTGTGCTATCGTGGTATTTCGACTTGAACTAATGTACGTACGTACGAAGTTCTATATTGTTGCTGACTGAGTGTATGGAACGGAAACTTGGCGAACCACAAAAGCTATGATCTACAAGATACAGGTGTTTATTAATAGTTGTCTACCCAAGCTACTCAGGATCTGTTGATCAGAAACCACCAGCAACAACATGCTGTGGAAGAAAACAAACTACATTCTAGCTGATGACGAAATAAAAAAGAAGCGTTGGAGTTGAATAAAACACATTTTAAGGAAATTACCCGACTGCATCATGATGCAAGCCCTAATTTGGAACTCAAGGCAAAATGAAAAGTGGCAGACCATTGAACACATTACGGCGAGAATCGGAAGCAGACGTGAAAAGAATGAACAGCAATTGGATAGAACTGGAAAGGAAGGTTCAGGATAGAGTAGGCTAGAGAATGCTGCTCGGCGGCCTATGCTCCACCAGGAGTAACAGGAGTAAGTAATTAAAAAAATTAGTGAAAAGATATCCACCAACTTTTTGTCTGAGATCCATATCTTACACCATTCCATTTGAGCAACCAAGCTAGTCCTATCAGTCTTTCATCAAGAGTGTAACCAAAGGTGAGCTCACAAACTTGTGTCTTAATTTTAATCTACATAAAGTGAATTTAAGTTTGATGGATAAAAGGTATCACTTACCTTTAATAACGTGTCCGTAAACAGTTTATGAATTTGTACTTCAGCATTACTTTTCATTATATTATCTATTCTCATTATTATTAATTTAAACCAAAGTTTATTATTCTCAACTTCGTCGTAGTTGGTTCATAGCAAAGGCTCTACACCTTCATGTTTCAGGTTTAAAACACACATTACCCGATTATCACATAAAGCCTGATTACAACTACCAAAGTGTTTAAACTCACCCATCGTAGCTTTCCAGCTGCACGAAACAAACAAGTTAGTAGACAGTTAAACCACAATGAGTAAATTTTATTTCCAAGGCTGAAGTCCTATTGTTGACTTTACATTAGTGCCATTTGTGTGTTATTAACTAGTAGTTGTCGCGCTATTACTTTTTTATTGCTAAAAGAAGAGATACGAAAGTCTGACCTTAAGACTGTCTGTGTCCCCTTATATACGTATATGAGATGCAAGCATAAGGTTAAAAGTTTATATCTTGTACGTGAACATTGAGTTATATAGTCGAAATTTGTGCAATCTCTGTTAATAACGTTTTTCTTTGAGCTGTATCCCTCTAAATTCTAACTCAGTGTGGTGTAGAATTTTAATCAAACTAGTAATTCATTCAAGCATTCAGTTAAGAAAATGAATACCCCCCCCCCATATATATAGCGTACACGAACTATAGGAGTTTGTTGGTGGACACAAAAACTCGAAATTTATCTATCTTAAGAAATCTAGATTTTGTTTATGATGAAAGATCTATGCATATGTTTCTTGTTTGTGGTTAATAACTAAGACAATTTCTCAGTGATTAGTGGTTATCTTTTCAGAATCTATCATGTTGGAAATCATCTAAATACTATCGATTGACTAAATGGACACTTGCAGGCGGAGCTATCGGTGTTGGAATTGTAGGCATAGCTATGCCTGTATATGCATCAGACTTACAAGCTCATCCTGCAAAACTACCTTGGATACACAATGGAATAATATCTTGTTATGATCATGCTGCAGTACGTCGCGGTTATCAAGTGTACAAAGAAGTGTGTAGTGCTTGTCACTCTTTGAAGTATGTTTACTATCGACATCTTGTCAATGAAGTACTGACAGAAGAAGAAGCTAAAGCGGATGCAGCTGAAGTAAGTTGAATGTGATTTTTTTTTTCGTTTGTTAAATAAAAAAAAGTAAGTAAACAATGCTGTTAACTCATCATAGTTTTTTAAAGCGTTTCACATTTCTCTGGTGTTTTTTATCTATATATATTTTAGAACCTAATAATAATAATAATAATGATAATTAATCAGTTAGTGATATGCAGTGTAAACTGTTGTACATGTGTATATTGATTGGTTCAAGTTTCCATTACCTCATTAACACGGTGAAATGAAATTATCAGAGCAAATTTTAAAGTGGTAAAAATATTCACAGTGTAGTGAACGAGAACACAGGTGGGGCAACCGAATTGTATTTAACGAAAATTACAGAGTTACTCAGTAAAATAGGAAAACCATATCGTAAATCGTTCATTTGCAAAATATCAGTTCATCATATCGAACTGGACTGTTCCTGTTGCCAAACATCAATCGATTGTCACTGTTCATGCGTTTCATACAAATTCCATTGTTTTCTAACTCTTCCTTTCTTGATCTTCCCTCATCTTATGCTGCCAGACATTACGTTGACGCTGACGTCATATACTACTTATAAGTAGCTCGCACCACAGCACCACAACAGTATTATTGGTGTTAGAGGAGGAGATTAGGCATGGAAGTACAATTCAAGAAAATATAAATTTGTGATTTAATCCAATAACATTACGAGGAATTTAGGAACTTATAGTAATAATAGTTATAACGGATTCAAGGTTTCAAGAAATCTCTCCAAAAAAATGAGCTTCAAAGATATAAGCAGATTTAAATCATAAATATTATAACTAGTAGTTGATAATTTATTTACTCATCCAAAAAAACCATATAATTTGATTGTTTAATTTGTAACTGATGATTGACTTCACTTGGTGTTTATTCTTTTAAACATTAACTTTACATCGAAGGGCATAAATCTCTGAATTCTTTCAGTTTTTTTTTTCCCCAACTAAGAGCATATAGAAATATGAAGTTGCCACCCATACATTATCTAAAAGTTAGCATAAATCTACGTAAGAAGTACTCAAAAATTACTCAAATGGGGGAGGTGACTCGCAATTCTTATCATTTCAGTGATTGTGCTTAAAAACCGAGTAGGATCATCTTTGTTTCATAAAAGCAATCAAGTTTAGGGCTAATATTCTTATTTTTTTAATTCTCACTGTTATTAATGGTAAGATAAAGATAATATAAATCAATAAGCCCATTCACCAGGTTTTTGGATGTAAGCCATACTCTAGGTGTGAAGAATATACTATTGAGTTATCCTAACCTTACTAAATAAACCACAGTTTGAACCTAGAATTTGGTGACTAAGAGTTTAGCTCCGTAACCACTAAGTCGTTCGCCCTTTGTTTTAATGTGCCAATAGGCCCAGCAACATGAAATTGTTAGGGCCAATCCCAGAGTAGTAGAAACAGTATCAGTATTGTTTCTAATAGAAAATATCACGAATTTGCATACTGAGTATCTAAGATAAGATAAAGAGTGAATTCACCTACGCGGTTGCAGGCCATTTTGAGCCATTTCACTGAGTCCTTAAGCATTGGTTATGATGATCATGAGGACCTTGACATAGTCATCTTCATTTAACTACATGACAGTCCAGTTATCAAAGTCTTCGTATACTGGGGCCAAGACTTGGTGTGACCGCCCCTTGTTTCCTTCCAACGTACTCTCATACCAGACAACAAGAATCGTTACGAGAAAATAAGTTCTATCTGGAAAACTATCTTTATTCTGACATTATTTGTATAAAGTGCTGATGTATTTGCGTTATCAAGTAGTCACTAGTTTACTAGTGTTCTTTGAAATTTCGAATGATTATCAATAATATACACATATATATATCAATGTATACCTAGGTAAATTATTCATTTACAGAGGCCTATTAATATAATAAAATATCTGTATGTATTAAGTACCAAAGATCCATAGGTCTTGAAAGTCAAGTGGCCATACGTTTTATCTGTTGTCGATTTTATCTTTACTGAGTGTTCATAATTTTGGTTTGGAAAATTCAGCTACCATGAAGAGTGTAAGCCTTCGTACGTTGAGACCAGGGTCAGTAAGTCAGCCAGCAACAACATATAACTTTGTACGTACGTACATCAGTTCAAGTCGCAATACCACGATAGCACAGAGACGCAGTTATCGATTCAAATCTGTTGGTTATGTGTTGATTGGCATTACGTACGGTTCTGTCCATTTAAAAAACATAAATGTCAGATGTGCAACAAACGAGGACGTAAAGAAGGCCATTGTCAACCAAATCGTACGTCTCAGCCCAGGAAGAAGCATAAACGTACTCGACATGTGGTGAAATTAGCCGAGTCTAAATCACTTTCTCTGGTAGCTGCTTTTCAAACAGACTATGACGTTCGGAGAAAGTATGTTACTATCCAGATGAACGGTGCATCAGCTCGTTTTCAAATGGACACGGCATCTGATATCACCTTATTGTCTAGAGAAACGTATAACTTGCTGGGAAAACCGCCAATGAAGCCCTCTAAGATAACAGCTAAAAGCACTTCAGGTGGTGTGTTAAATCTGGTTGGTGAATTCCGGTGTGAATTTTCCTTCAACGGAACCAAATGTACAGGAATATGCTATCTGACAGAACGGCCAAACCTTAATCTTCTTGGTCTAGATATGCTAGAAAAACTGGGAATAATGGATTTACCCATTAACAGTGTCTGCAGCGTATCGTGTTCATCACTGGACACCCCGATACTTACAAAGAAGACAGGTGAAAGGTTGCAAGATAAACGGAAGAGTATGTCAGCCTCTGTTTTTCAGAATAGCCTTGGCCGCTGTACGAATATGAAAGCTCACCCAACAAGTGAAAGCGGATGTCAAACCTATTTCACGTCCGAGACGCCCTATACCATATGCTGTTCATGAGCCTCAACAAAACTTATCGATGGGGAAGCAGCCCAATCGACGGTTGTTTAAAGATATGGCTCCTACAAAGCAGGCGGCTCGTAAGAGTACGGGTGGCAAGGCACCCAGGAAGTAGTTGGGCTCTAGCACCAGATCCTACGAATCTTCTCAAAGGGGAGGCGTTAGTGGGACTTAGATGGAATTAAAGCATGACTACGTTGCTGCGCGCTGATTGGCCAATTTCCTATCCAATCAGCGCTCGGTCGATTCTTGGAGAACAGGGTAGAAAATTCTCGTATTGTTAGCTGCATGCTGATTGGCTAAATCTAATCCAGTCGATCACGTGAATTTCTATCCAGAAGCTTCTCATGTAAATGCTATAAAGAAACTAACGTATCTATTTTGCCTTCGCCATCACCTTTGACTTCTTATTCCATTTAACCTTGCTATTTGGAATATAATCTTTTCCTGTTCAACCGTGTTTTTGATTCTTTGGGACTTGTTCAGTGTATTATGGTCGAGAACATTAAGCAATAGGAATTAGCTGGGAATTATATTTCAAGCAAGCGTTACAATAAAGTACCATGGTCGTAGAGGTAGTAGAAGTATGAGCAGTAGTCAGAAAGAATAGGGTTTGAAGATGCTACTCAAGGGGTATAATGCAGTGAAATAAATTTGAGAAAAGAAAGATGAAGGTCATGAGGCATTCAGATTAGAATTTGGCAGAACACAAAGAGTAGATGCATCTGCACCGTTGCAAACGATTTTGAGCCATGTCACTATTGTCTCGCTAACCCCAACCAGGTACTCTACACTTATTAACATGTCTCAGTCCACTTGTCATTGACTTCATAGATTTGTTCTATGTTTTGGTCTGGACGCCCCTATCTTCCAACCTACTCCTGCACCACAAAATATTGCTCGTCTGGGCAGTCAGTGGCTAGACTCAGGGTACTGATGTTGTCGCTCGGATGTATGTAAACTATTCCCAACCACCACCTACCTCTACGTGTAATGTCAGCTGGTGTATGACTAAGGAGAAACCTAGGTTATCATAAGCAAACAGTTGAAGACGTTGGATAGCATGTCTTAAAATCGTTCTAGATGCGATCATTCGTCATCTTCCCTTAGGTCATGAGTTTCAGAATTATTTTATTCCCTTCATTCCATGAATCGATTTCTCTTAAATTATGTTCTCTATACCTAACATTCTCTACCAACACTAAGAGTGCTGTTACTTCTACCATTTTAGTGCTCATCTTAATTATCTCATCTCGTTGTGTTAATGTGGTTGGTATAAACACTTTAGCCGATGCACAAATATGTCAGGTTCTACATTCCTTGTAATTGAACTTACGTAATAATTCTTGGATTTAATTCTGTAACAAGTGAACTCTATCAAGGTCAGAGATCAGTTTGAGGGAGTGTATAATCAAGGCATACAATTGATTTTGCGTCAAATGAAAACAGGTTGTTAGTTGGAAAAAATTCTAATTAATTGGCTACTTTTTAAAGTATATGATCAAATTGTCTATGAGGACAATGAAAACTTTACATCAAAACTATCCAACTTAGAGAGCACGAATTTATTGTCAAAAATGTAGAATTAATTTGACACATAACCAAAATAGCTTTCTATATGTTTTTATCATTTCTAATAGTACCAGTCACATCTCAGCAACTTGTAAACATTGATGAGTTGTGCAAGTATGAGGTTTATATGAAAGAAAGGCAAATAACTGAAGGCTTATCATTTACTTCTAAAAAAAGTGTATATGTGTAGTAATTTAAAACATAAACTGCATTAACCTGTTATAATTAATTCCATTGTAGAATATGTATCCTGATGGACCAGACGATAAAGGACTTATGTTTGAACGACCAGGTCGATTGACTGATCCACTTCCATCTCCTTATCCAAATAGTGAAGCAGCACGTGCTGCTAATAATGGAGCAGCACCACCCGATCTAACATATATTGTTAAAGCTCGAGAAGGTTATGAAGACTACATATTCCATTTGCTTACAGGTATATAAGTTTTGTTGAGTAAATGCAAACTTGTCATACTCATTATATTTGATCACTGATTTGTTGGGAAATCAAGGTGAATGTTTAAAATAATTTTAGTTTGCAAAAAAGGTATTAAAAAGAAACTTTCTATATAGGGTCAATATAAACTCTTTAAAAAATTGGTTGATTGCCTGTCTCTTAATTTTTCATTAAGATCACGAACCGACCTAAGTTAGACAGCCATTAGACACGAGAAAGCACTGGATAGCTGTTTTTATCCTAGTATGGGACTCATCAACGGTGTAAATCCACGATTGCACCAGAGGTTGAACTTGGGACCTCCAGGTTTCGCGGTAGGCACTTCACCTTTAGATTACTAGTTTTTTATCCAATGGTGTACGTGTCTCACTTTCGTCAACTGGCAATGTCGCGCAACCACCTCATGTCTTTAGTGGATAACTGTCAAACACCCAGCATAGTTGAATCATGCTGTAAATAGCTTCTCACTAGAACTCCAGGAATTCTTCTTAGCTGTGGAAAATCAAATAAAAAGGTCTGCTTTTCAACTAAAAAAATCAATATTTAAGTTAAATACTACTGCTAATTCAAGAAAACAGCTTGTGCTGTTGAGTTCAGCAACAAAACAGATTTTTATTGCAATCATGTATGAATAAAAATTCAGAGTAGAAAAATTTATACCTCGCTGAACAATGACCTAAAATATCCTTGCTTCCTATCACAATTAACCGAACTAAAGATTTGGATAGATAAAACGTAAAATGCATTCGTTGTCATCATAACGGACAGATTTAGAAATAAAGTCGCAAGTTGACCATCAACATTTTGAACGTCATCAAATTCATGAAGGGTGAAGAATCATACTTGAAAATTTATACCCTCGGTGTTGTTATGAAAAGCCAAATCACTGCGTAATCAGATAAGCCACATAGATGAGAAATTTTTATATAACTGTCTCAACTCAAAGACATATAAATTATTTGTATTTGTACATTATTCATAAAGACAGTAGTTTCCTACAGTATTCTCACTTAACGAAAAGTCTAAGCAAAACCCATATGCCCAGGAGAAAGTCCGTTCTGTCTCTCCACATATTCTGACGTGGCCACGCGTATATAACCACTAGGAGGACGAAAAGTCATTGTCCGGAGCTTTAATCTAGTTGGTAGGTACGCAGGATCCATCTAGCAGAGTTTGAATTTCCTGATCCCAAAGTAATGATGTACATGGACTCCAACATCTTGATGGAAACATTGACATATCAACCTATTGTTGGTCACTAACTACTATGAGACTGCATCTCCTAACATTGCTCCACTGTTTTGTGGATAAGACCTAAAAGTCGAATGCTCGGTGCGCATCCTTTTAGGAAAACCACTTGTTTTGCTTTGTGTATCTGATCAGTCTATACTAAATCTAAAACGAGGGAAAACAGAAGGCCCTGAACTTTTTAAGGGTGGCAGTCTGGTTTTAGCAGCTAGATTGACTGAGATCTTAGGTAGAATCTGGGAACTGAACGTGATTCCATCTTACTGGTCTCAATCCCTGATTGTCCCAATTTATAAGAAAGGACAAACGTCCTTTTGTGACAATCACAGAGGAATCATTTTAACTAATATAGTGTCTAAATTATTAACCTCGATTATCCTTAGACGCCTAACTAGAGCTCGTGAAGAGCAGATTCGAGAAAATCAGGCTGGTTTCAGACCTGGATGTGGCTTTATAGACCAGATATTCACACTGCGACAGGTCCTGGAACACAGACACATATATAGGCGTCCTATAATAGTTGTCTTCCTGGACCTTAAGGTGGCATTTGACTCTGTCGATGTTGAGGTTCTGTGTCAGTGCCTGTCATTAAAACGTGTACCAAAGAAGTACATTAACCTTATACAAGGTGTCTCTACTTGAACACTACTGGTCAAGTGAGAGCTTATGGCGTGGTGTCCATCATGGCTGTCCACTTTCTCCGTTCTTGTTTAATTTTGTCATAGACTTGCTTCTAGATATAACACTGTCTTCGTCTGGATTTCCAGGAGTAAAATTTCTACCACGAGATTCACTGGTTGACTTAGAATATGCCGATGACATAGTTCTGCTTGGTGAAGACGTTGACAAAATGCAGTCTTCTGATCACACTAAGTAACAATACAAGCATGTTCGGGATGCGGTTTCCAACCTCGAAATGCAAAATGTTGCTTCAAGATTGGGTTGCATCCGTACCTAAACTAGTGATAGGGAGTGAAGTAATTGAACGTGTTGACCGCTTCACTTATCTTGGGACTCTCATCAGTGCTGATAGCCTGGTGACTGACGCAATCTCATCACGGATACAATAGGCTCGATTGGCTTTTGCCAACTTGCGTCACTTATGGCGCAGGCAGGATATCCGTTTGCTAACCAAAGGATGAGTGTACTGTGCAGCAGTTCGCTACGTTCTCCTACATGGATGCGAAACATAGCCGGTAAGAGTAGAAGATATTCGTAGGTTACTAGTGTTATAACACAGATGTCGAGTAAGCAATGCTGCCATTAGGAAGCGAGTACTAGGTAAGGATGGCAGATCAATAGATGAATTAGTGAAACTTCATCAGTTGAGGTGGTTGGGACATGTGTTACGTATGGCTAACCACCGACTGCCTCGACGAGAGATGTTCTGTGGTGTAGGAGTAGGTAGGAAGGGAGCAAGGGGCGACCAAACAAAAACATGGCACAAATCCATGAAGTCACTGACAAGTCATGTCAGTAGGTGTCGACTACCTGGTTGGGGTCCGCGAGACGATAGTCACCGATGGTTAGAGACCTTGAATGACATGGCTCAAAATCGTTTGCACTAGCGCAGGTGCATCCATTCATTGTGTTCTCTCAAATCTAATCTTCTGAGTTTCTCATCACCTCTGTCTCTCTCTTTCTAAAGTTATCTCACTGGATTATACTTCTTGAATAATATCTTCGAGTTTCAATCTTCTCTATTACTGCTAATACTTCTACTATCTCTACTACTGTAGTGAATGAGAACACAGGTGGAGGCAACCGAATTGTATTTAACGAAAATTACAGAGTTACTCAGTAAAATCGGAAAACCATATCGTAAATCGTTCATTTGCAAAAGATCAGTTCATCCTATGGAACTGGACTGTTCCTGTTGCCAAACATCAATCCATTGTCACTCTTCATGCGTTTCATACAAATTCCATTGTTTTCTGACTCTTCATTTCTTGATCTTCCCCCCATATTATGCTACCAGACTTTACGTTGACATTCACGCTATATACTACTTTTAAGTAGTTCGCACCACACTCGTCCCCCCTTTTAATAAGCTGTCGCCGTAGTCCTTCGAAACAGAGCCCCTGGTCAGTTAATATCACCTTCCGCATTCCGTGACACGCTACAATATGCCGGATTACCACTTCGGTCATCGTTCTTGATCACTGGTCTGGAATGGATACGGCATCTACCCAACGTGTAGCGTTTACAAGTTCCCGATGCTGGAACACGGCGGCAGGCACACACTCGATAAATTGCGACGCCAAAGACTGTGCCCCGCCCACTCCTCACGGCGCAGTCCGGTGAGCTCCACAGCAAGCACCAACAGGTCACCATCGGCCGACAGCCGCGCCAACCGGAACCTCTGCGGCGCCTCCTCCCTGTCCGCTGGGCTGTCGAACTCCATTATCAGCCGCCCGGTGACCGTCTCCCACGCCGTCTCCTCGGTGGCACCATCCAGGCTGTCGTGTACCGCCTTCGCCTCACCTCCCCGCAGCGTCCCCAGCACCGTCAACTCCGCCCCAAGCTCCCACCAGCTCCACCGTGGCCCCAAACTCCTCCAGGAAGCTCCGCCAATTTCCGCCCTGCGACTCCTTCGGCCACGGGAGCCCCTTCCTTCGAGCAGGCAGCGACACCAAATGTAGTGAATGAGAACACAGGTGGAGGCAACCGAATTGTATTTAACGAAAATTACAGAGTTACTCAGTAAAATCGGAAAACCATATCGTAAATCGTTCATTTGCAAAAGATCAGTTCATCCTATGGAACTGGACTGTTCCTGTTGCCAAACATCAATCCATTGTCACTCTTCATGCGTTTCATACAAATTCCATTGTTTTCTGACTCTTCATTTCTTGATCTTCCCCCCATATTATGCTACCAGACTTTACGTTGACATTCACGCTATATACTACTTTTAAGTAGTTCGCACCACACTACTACTACGGGATTTTAATTGACAATTGCTTCTCTATGCTTATGTGGTATGGCAACTTGAACTGATGCACTTGTCTACGAAGTTCCACGTTGTAGCTGACTGACTGTGATGGATAAGGTTGAAGACAATATAAGAAGTTGAAATAAATGGATATATGAGGAAAAATTCTACATTAACTGACATAAAATAACTAGAGATCATCGAGATAAAATAATTAATTGATTGAGATGGTGACGAACATTTTTAGCTTTTATAGATGGTGATTTTGGTGGAGTTTCGTTCACTGAGCTGGGCGGTTTTTTAACATTCATTAGTTTCTATTTTAGTGTATCAGTATTAGTCCATATTCTTTTCGTTCTGTGAAATCATGTTTTGATAAGTGCCTTTATGTAACTAATCGGATAGAAGCTATTAGAATTCAGATAAACATCATTCCATATATTTTTTACGACACACTAAACATTAAATTGTATTGTACCGTATAGAGAAAGTGGAACTTACAATTTTTTTCTTGTTCCTTGGTAAACTGAATATTATTTATGAGTGTCGTTGTAAAGGTTCTGGTAGGTATTGTTGATCATTACATACGATACAAGTGTCATCAACATAATACATCATTTCATCAATTGTCCATTTTAAGTTTGGTCTCTCTAAGGGTTAGCCATGAAAATATATATCCTCTAGGACAGGATCCAATCAATGTTCCATTGCTACATTATCAGTTATGATGTTATCAAATTGAAACTGGGCGTATTATTAATAGCTGTTTAAGTTCTTGCATTGGTAGAGGTAGGTCTGTAGTGAAGGGGAACACAGGTGAGGGCAACCCAATTGTATTTATCTCAAATTACAGAGTTACTCAGTAAAATAGAAAAACCATATCGTAAATCGTTAATTTGTAAAATATCAATCCATCATGTCGAACTGGACTGTTCCTGTTGCAAACATCAATCCATTGTCTGACATTTCACTGTTCATGCGTTTCATACAAATCCCATTGTGTTCCCGCTCTTTCTTTCTTGATCTTCCCCCATCTTCTGCTGTCAGACATTACGTTTTTACTCGAGTCATATACTACTTATAAGTAGCGCGCACCACAGGTTGGTTAGATTACTCGCATATTGTCTTTTGTGGTATTTCGGTAAACAAAGTTTATCGCATCAAAAGAAACTATCAACTTACCAACAATGACTCAACACTACCGAAAACATCTGATCAATTTCAACCGTTTTTCATCATTCTACCTACAGTATTCTTCTATTTTGTTCACATATGTTGAGGTTAAACGCAGAGTACACAAGGCAAAGTCATTAAATTGGCTGTTAAAGTTTTGAGTGTTTATTCACTGACATGGCCGGAATATATCTTATTAACATCAAACTACTGCCCACCTTCATGTGAACGATATCCATTCAAAAGTTTACTTTCAACAAACTTGGAAACAAAAGTCTCCATTCTTATGATCTTCTTCATGCTATCTGATACATCTCTGTTTTGAATAGGAATTCAAGTCAACAAATGAAATAGATTTCCATTCAAAACAGATAGATTCGATAACATGATTGGAACGTTAAGAATAACAAATTATTACTAAGCCTGAAAAAGTACAGAATTTATTGAATGTAAACTTTGCATTGAATGTTTCCAAAACTACGTTTTTGATTTATTTTAGGGAAAAACTGACGATCAGCAAACCAACTACATTATAAACTCTTAGAAATTCCATTCTCTTTCTCCGATGCTCGCCATTATTAATATATGCCTTATTAAATGGTTGCCTTTATTAGCATGGACTCAGATTGTAATGTTGACTGATGTAAGAATAGATTGTAAAAAGGTTACGTTTGTCTAAATCGAAACATAACATTGGTCTATAAAGTCATTGACTTGGTTTGGTTCATTTTATTATGTGAAAATTAACTGGTTGATGTTCTTGTGTTATTCTGATAAACAATGATTAGAGACATTGAGTGATGATTATAGCTTAGGATCAGTCAGCAACACCACAGGTGCAGTCACACATTTTCCCTCAGATCTTGAGTTTTCAAACTATCTTCTAGGCCTCCGATCCGAATTCTCCAACCAACTTACATTATTTATGCCTAACGCTCTCTGATACTGTCAATAACTTCTACTTTGGAATTTGTCTTAGTAATTTCATCTTATTATACTTATCTATTGTGGATGCTTGAATCAATGTACATCGATGTACTACCACATTCTATGCTGTTTCTGATTGATTGATTGACTGTATTTATGCATATATATATATATATATATATATATATATATATATATATATATTTATATTTTTATATTTAAAGGTTATATGGATCCTCCACCAGGTCGTACAGTTCCAGAGGGTCAATATTATAATCCTTATTTCCCTGGTGGAGGTATAAGCATGGCAAGAGTATTGTATGATGATTTAATTGAATATGCTGATGGAACACCTGCTACAACTAGTCAAATGGCAAAAGATGTTGTCACATTTCTCTGTTGGACATCAGATCGTAATCATGATGGACGTAAACGTGTTTTATTTAAGGTAATTGAGGGGCTCGTCTTTTTTTATTAAATTTATTATATTAACTGGTATTTCATATGCGCTATCGTGAAAGTTTTTTTTAGTTTCATGTAACTTATTTATCATTTGTTGTTATATTAAGCTTTCTTGAAATGACTTTAAAAATTGAAAAAAAAAACCCATCTACTTTTATCTGAACGGTTTACTGTGATAATGATTATGGTGATGAAAAGTTTCATTTTTAGAAACATTAGTATATCATTATTTATACTCCCGAATTATGTAAGGTATGTGATGTATTTTAATCTGGGTTTCATATTTTTTGTCAATTACCTCCAAACATCACCTCATATCGCAACATAATGTATGCAATGTCAAGTCACCTAGATTATTGGCTACATTGCAGCCTGATCGGTAAAATTCGATCAACACTAAAGAGGTGCTGGCGCGTATGACATCGATCACTACCCAGTGATCGACCAATTGTAAATACATCTCTCTCCTATAGGAGGCCTGTTGTGGCCCGAATAGCTCAGTGGTAACGTCTCTGACTGTGAAGCTGGATGGTACTAGATCAAATCCTTACTAACGAGTGCCAAATGTCATGAAATCTAGGATCAGTAATTCCTGCCAGTTACCGCCGACCACCACCTTACGTATTCAATGATAATAATTTGTTCTCACACCGCAGGCATGGATGGTGCAAGTAAAAACAGGGACATATAGTACAGCGGATTAAAATAAGTGGTTTGAACAGGAGCCCTTATATGTTCATCAATGCTAATGACTGTAATGGTTTTGTGGAGATTATTGAATTTCATAGTCTACATCACAGACTAACTTTAAATATACAACCATTGAGAATCGGCAAACACTGGACAGCTGATTCATACTACTATTGGACACCTTAGTAGTGAACATCTACGATGTCAGTAGGGTGTATACTAATGAGAACCACATCCTCGCTTACATTCTCTCCAGATCGAATTTCTAGGTATCATTATCAAATTAAAAGTAATTCATGGATTATATCACACATTCAATTTAGTTAAACAAACGTTGAAAATCATTTGTGTACTGTTGAAAAGTACGGGAATAGGACGGAACATCTGAGCAGATTGTCGAGTTGCTCTTTCAGTAGCTGTTTAGTTTGTAGCCATTTATGAATTTCGTACTAATTCGATATTTCACCATAATTCAATCTGATGTGATTGGTTAAGAATAAAACTGTGATTTTCATAGCTATTTCGCCATACTTGTAATCAAAATAAAGTTGGAATTCAGTGTTATTTTCACAGTTAGATCCAATCAATTTGAGATAGAATGTAGGAAATGTTGAATATATGCACTAGTGCATGTCTTTTCGTAGCTTATTTTATTTGAATGAAGAAAAATACTTTTAAGTGAAAATATTACGTAAACTTTTTCAACATGAATAAGCTTAATAACGAGTTATAACATGATAGCAAGTCACTACTTTTAGTTGATCAAATTTTGTGAGGACTTTTTTAATGTTCCACTAATTATATCTCATTGGATGACTGATTGATACATGTGAAATGTCTAAATCTTGCTTAATCATAAAGAGTTTAGTATGCCATCTCTACTTTAATCTTATGTAAAATTAACAAAAAATATACATTACTGATTTGTTCAAAGCGTTCACATATTTCATAATCCTTATTATTTGCAAATGATTTTCCAGTGTATTTCGATTTATAAAGTAAACTGGACACAATTTGAAGTTGTTTAGTTATTGATTTTGCTGCCATCATCAAATGTTCAAACATATCCACACAAATTCTTCATTGATTTATGTTTGCAAGGTTATTTCACTTGACCTTGATAAAATCCGTTTGAGAGGCAATTAGGAGAATTACTGTACACTGAATATTTGTTGAATTCTTTAGATTATTAGACAAGAAATAGGGTTTTTAAAGATTTACATTATTTTACTTCGAAGGTTTTACAAATTTGTCAAACATACATACACAGAAATAATATTAATTCCATCTAGTCAGAAGATATCTGTCAGTGTAAAGATATTTTTCTTTATGAGCTAACTTGCTAAACAGAGAATACTGACAAGTGCCAAACAGAACATGACCTAGGTTCAGGGTTTCCTGTCGACTACTTACATTTATCAGCTCCACGAGGGGTAACAAGCATAATTAAAATCTATATAGTTCGTAGTGTTACAATTGCAAAACTGACTGCATATCAACGACACAACCGGTCACTGTTTAAAACTATTCATTTATATGACTTCTTGAATAGTCACAAGTTTATTTCTCTAGAAATCCGGAAGTTTGTTTCCATTAACCATAATTATTTACAGCAACACAGCACGCGTGTTTCGTCCAATTTATGACCTATCAGCCTAACATACTCAGTGTTGATGTTCACACCGGTCCTCAAACCCAAGTACTTTACGTCTCAAACGCTCGATATGTTATCTTCTGAGGTACAGAATCTAGATGGTGATATTGAGGTGGTCTGCACCAGATGCACATATACAGACATAGACTCATAGAAATTCACTGATGAATATTAACAAAGAAATAGTACAAATCTTTCCTATTAGTGATATCAAAAGTAAATATTGTTTACTTGCGTACTCCTGGTTAGGAAACTCGATTAACAATCATTAAGACTGAAGGTAATGAACACGCTGTTCTACCTACTTCATTTTACATATCTAGATAGTCTGTATTAAATTTCACCCCAATATATATATATATATATATATATATATATATATATATATATGCTAGTACAGATCAAATCCTCAAATATATATGAAACTACCGGTTCTTGCACCATAACTAAAAATTTAGATTGTGCCATAGCAGAGACTTCTTGTCTTGTTATCAATAAATTAATTATCTGGATTTTTCCTTCCACCCATGTCAAAGTTTTGCAGCCTAAGTATCATGATAAAATTATCTTCATGTAGTTAAGTAGGTATACAATTCAAATGTTGAATTGTTTATAATATAAAATGAGTTCTTATCATTTTTAAAAGTATAACACATGCATTTAAGATTTTGTGATTATGAACAAAGGATTTATAACTTGAAACAATGGTTTTAATTGACGTTACATTCCTTAAGCTGGATGGTTTAATCGTGTAACATTGTCTTTTTAGAAAACAGCAAAAGTGTTGAACTACGATTTTCCCTTATTTTCTTCAACCAAACACCTATTCGTGTGAATTCATCAATATGCACAAAATCGAATGTGGAAATCAATAAACTAAATTATCCTACCATAGATCACTTATTCATCAGAAATGACAGTTATATTATTGAGGTCAGACAGACAGACAGATAAAACGCAGAACTTCGTACGTAAGTACATCAGTTCAGACTGCCATATCACATTAGCACAGAGACGCAACTGCCAGTTCAAATCACATAGTGGTAGCGATAGTAGAAGTATTAGCAGTAATGCAGAAGATTAGGGAGCGAAGATATGATTCGAGGCCATAAAGAATAGGAATCTTTCACAACCGATTAAGATCATTTCAACCAACCAAAGAACGAAATGACGAAAGAACAAAAGCCGAACATAGTCTACAAAATAGACTGTTCCAAATACTATATCAGATATATTCTAACTACCTTATTCGTCTGCATGAGCACCAATTGATATCAAACATCACAACGTATCCTCATTTATATTAGCGCATCCGAATAATTGTAGTAAAATGTTGAAATCTTGAATAAATACAGTAAAAAGTAGATCAGAGAAATTTCGGAAGCTTGGAAATCAGATTATTCACGAATAAAACAAACATTTAATTAGGCTCAATTAATCAACTAAGTTTAAAAAAATTACCAACAGCTATTAGGTCTACAGAAGTTGGTATTCAAAATAAATATACAGAAAATGACAGAATAAGCTCTAATAACAACTAGTTGAACTTGAAATTAACAGAAAAACTTGTTAAAAACTTGTGAAGAAATCCGAGTAGCTCACTTTTATTTAAGTTTTCTTCTGATACTAATTTTACCCTAGAAGGACAATTTAAGCTCACTCACTTTGGAGGACGCAACTCTGCAAAAAAAAAATACAATTTTTATGTAGTATGTATTTTTAGATATATTATAATTAAGTTTTTATTTGTAAAACATCTGAAATTTAGAGATATTTAAAGAATTTAGAAAATTCTACATAACTTATCATTATTATCGATTTGATTGTTACTATTACTACCTGCAAACTGCAATAGGCCTATATACATTTTGACTAAAGGTTATATGGTGTTGGTGAAACGACTTATAACATAAGCGTAGCATCAATCCATGTAGTAGTAGTAGCAGTAGTAGTAATAGTAATAGCAATCACTGACCGATTAGAAACAATGACTTACATTCAAATAGTTGATGACACAATTACATTTATTCTTGATCATTGTTTAAATCTTAAGTTCCTTATAATTGTTCTAAATGTTTCATTCGTTTTTATGAGATTTTATGTTGTTGTTTTTACTACTACCATCGATCTTCAATTCTTTCATATCAATTTCCTAGCTCATTGTGTTGCTTCTAGTTTTAATTAGAGCAAACTAGGCTTATGCGCACTCTTGGACTCATGTTTTTGTATTGTTCTTATTGACTTAGTATATGCCGATGACATAGTCCTACTTGGTGAAGACGCTGACAAAATGCAGAGTCTTCTGACTACCCTAAGCAACAATGCAAGCATGTTCGGGATGCGGTTTTCCCCCTCGAAATGCAAAATGTTGCTTCAAGATTGGGTTGCATCGGCACCTGAATTAGTGATAGGGAGTGAAGTAGTCGAACGTGTAGACCGCTTCACTTATCTTGGGAGTCTCATCAGTGCCGATGGACTGGTGACTGACGAAATCTCAGCTCGGATACAGAAGGCTCGACTGGCTTTTGCCAACCTGCGTCACTAATGGCGAAGGCGAGATATCCGTTTGCTGACTAAAGGACGAGTGTACTGTGCAGTGGTTCGCTCCGTCTTACTTTATGGCTGTGAATCATGGCCAGTGAGAGTAGAAGATATTCGTAGGTTACTGGTTTTCGATCATAGGTGTCTTCGAAGCATTGCTCGTATTGTGGGACACCGGAGTAAGCAACGCTGTTATTAGGAATCGGGTGCTAGGTAGGAATGGCAGATCAATAGATGAAGTGGTGAAACTTCATCATTTGAGGTGTTTGGGACATGTGTTACGTATGGCTAACCACCGACTGCCTCGACGAGAGATGTTCTGTGGTGTAGGAGTAGGTACGATGGGAGCAAGGGGCGACTAAACAAAAACATGGCAGAAATCCATGAAGTCATTGACGAGTGGACTTAGCCATGTCGTAATTGTCGACTACCGAGTTGGGGTCCGCGAGATGATAATAATCGATGGTTAGAGACCTTGAATGACATGGCTCGAAATCGTTCGCAATGGCACCGGTGCATTTATTCTTTGTGTTCTCTCAAATCCTAATCTTCTGGGTTCTTCAACAACTTTAGTTTTGACTTTCTAAACTTTTCTCACTGAATCATACTTCTTGAATAGTATCTTCTAATCCGATTACTTCTAATTTCCTTACTACCTCTACTACCATTGGATTTGAATTGACAATCACTTCTCTGTGCTGATGTGGTATGGCGAAATGAACTGATGTACTTAAGTACGGAGTTCTACGTTGCATCTGACTGACTGACTGAATGGCTTGATTAAGTAAAACATTCGAAACGACTAAAGCAAGTTAGATATGAGCGAACTGGAATGTACGTGGAGGCACTACAATAGCCGGCCTCCAGCAAACAAGTATACAAAAAAGGTCTATGTTTGCGAAAAAAATCAAATCAAAAATCATATTTCTTGAATAATATCTTCTAATCCTAACCTCTCCGATTACTCCTAATACATTTACTACCTCTTCTACTATTGGATTTGAATTGACAATTACATCTCTGTGCTAATGTGGTATGGCGACATGAACTGATGTACTTACGTACAAAGTTCTACGTTGCATCTGACTGACTGAATGACTGACTTTCTATTGTTCTTAACTAATAAGTTTGAAGTTTATAAGTTCATAATGATTTTCAGAAAAAAATTCATTACACTTAAGGATTGCATATTGTTGTAAATATTTGTCTCATTTGATTGTTTAATTACTTCTTATCTCTATCGAGAAAACAATATAAAATGATACTTTCTAATTGCTGGGCATCGATTTGTTTGTTTTCTTCTGTTTTTTTTAGACAGTAATAGTGTTGGGTACATTTGCAGTGATATTGGGAGCATACAAACGGAAACGTTGGTCAGATATCAAAACTAGGAAGGTTATATACAAAAATCGACCAATTCCAAAGGATGTTTAGTAACTTTTTTTCTTTAATAGGATCAATACCATGTCTTGTGTATGTGCTTCCTTCATTTGGTGCTGTTTGATACTCCATCTTTCTACCGTACTAGAAGTGCGCAAATCGGTTTTTTAGAATGTGGGCATGTATTGATTATTAGGAGTAAATATATATAGATATATACATATATATATATACTTGTTTGTTTTTCGTGAATGTTGATCTCGTTAACTAAACTAGGAATTTTTAGATTGTTATTGATCGTAGAATTTATGGTGAGAAGGATTTTTTTGCTGCAATGCTGCTCATGGAATTCGGTTTTCAAATTGCACTTGACACTTATGAAACAACAATAGATTTCTAGACCGTCTCAAAATCTCTTTGCTTCAGTCACAAAATAACTCACAATAATGCTTAGTCCTATACCCATCGCCGAAACAAACAAGTTTCAATAATTTTCCTTAGCGAGCTATGATTTCTCAACTTCAGGACAAACAAGTGGCATCGGCAGTTGTGTTGTATAGTCTTACAGTTATTTGATGTTGCTCCATGTAACTTGAGTAGGATCCAGAGCGGATTTTAATTTTTTCATCCAACTTATGCTGATAAGTTGATCTGCTTGATTTAACCCCTCAGAACGTCGGTAACCACTAGCACCTCAAAAACGTGGATCCTAATAGTAGTCAACCCGAACACGGCAAATATATGACTACTCTCCCCAATAAGTGGACGGTATATTCAATCAACGGAAAGTTACCTGTCCTTAGCCAAAACACCCATCACACCGATTCGTTTCTACGTTATATCAAGGTGAAGAACTACCACAGGCTAACCAGATGGACTGGTTCCAATTCAATCTCTTTTAATCTTTTCTTACCAGTGGTCACTATTGCTCCAGCGAGATCTGGTCGATTTGTGCAAATGCTGAGAGAGCTGAATCTTCTGATAATAACGATAGAATTAGCTGGGTTAGGTTTCGGCTGCGAGAAAGGAAATCAATCAGGTAGGAGGCCACATCAGCACTGTCAAACTGGAGTAGACCGACCTTGCGCACTTATTGCTAAAATCAGCGATATGCAGTTACACATTTGATTGAGGTTCTTATCAGTGGAGAACAAGGATTAAGGTACTGATAATCCTGGAGTCGTAGTTCAGATGGAGTGAAACAGAGTAAGCGGTCAAGTAAATCCGGATGATCCACAATAGTGTTTTTCGGCGATTGCTCCGCAAGGTCTACACGTTCTTTCCGTCATGTCCTATCTGGTATTCGTACAGGTTATCATCCTTGTTAGGGAGTCTCCAAATACCGCTCAAAATCCCATAGAGGCCTAGAATCGCCAGTAGACGCTTCATCCGATGGGCCCTGAGTAGGACCGCGAAATCATCTGAAAAATGCTTGACCACGTGCTATGATTATATGTTTGGCCATACCACTTCCAAGAAGCACAAGATCACGGGTAACTTAAGTACCCTCAGTTTTCTGTACCAGTTAATTTTGTAGTAAAGCGCTCACGTACTTCGCGCCTTTTTTCTTGGATTGTAGTTGGGGTGTAGATTTAGTGTTGGGTTATTACAAGCGGATAGGTATCTGACCTTGTGCTGAAGCAAGACTTACCATTTATATAGAACTTATGTGTTGTTAATGGCTGTTGTTTCTGGTAATAAAGTGCTAAACAGATGATTGGGAGGACATGAACCACATTCAAACTTATAGTCCCTGCCAACAGGAACTCTCGCTTTATGCCGAATGGTCTACTGCTATAGGGCTCATGTTCATTCTACCCACTCACTGAACTCGTGAGGGCTAGAATACTTCTACAATTATTCTTCGGCCCCGATGTAATCCAAGTTGCAGTTATTCTGACACCAGGACCACTTTTTTCAAATCCAGTAGTTTGGTCAACGTATACGCTTGCAGCATCTACTATGTATGACATATGACCAATGTTTCTTGCTATTGGAAAGGTTTATTTTACAGCTTCCCACGGTGAATTCCATATTTCCTTCGATATCAGATGTAGTCTGATTTAAATAATCTACGAACTTGATGCTACTGGCCAGCCCACTTTTAATTCCTCCTAAGCATTTCCATTAAAACAGATTTCGGACATTATGGAACACTTAAAAATTTATGCGTTGGGAGGAAGAGTATGCTAAATGCATTTTAATACAGTATATTTGACCAAGGCTGTTTGAACGATAGATATGAAACATTTATTTATTCATCATATATACTAACGGGATCCTTATCATCAAGTCAAATCGAGGCTATTACCAGTTTTTCGTACCGTCGTACTGATTAGTTTGTACTAGTGAATTTCTAGATTTTGCCATTTGATTTGCAAGTCTATTTGGCGATCTGTATTGAGGTCCGTTCTCACTCTATCCTTTCAACTCATCTACTACATTAGCAACAATGAAATTTCTTCGATGGAAATAGATCTCATCGTTATAACAAAGAGATAACACATCAGTTGATCGTGTAAAATTAACAGCCTTCAGTCCTAGTTTTACTGTATGACCATGATTTGTCTCTGAACTTAGAATGGTCGAATAGTATTCGACAAAATCATTTGAAGCTCATCTAAGACATTCTGTGCGGACCGACAGTTTAGTGAGTGTTATGGCGTGAGTCGCAGTTGACTATGATCACCATCATTGGCCAATTACCTCTCCATCACAGAGAAAAAACGTTGATCCATATATTTGCTGGCGACTTTGTCGTATCGAAAGAACACCGAAATCTTGCCAGAAAAGAGAAGCGAAATTACCGAGACAATGGAGCCAAAATAGTGGCAGTACAAACATAAAGTTTGCGCGTACCGAGTAGTATTAAACCAAGTAGTTCAGTAAAACAATCTCCAATACAGTTGGTTATAATGAATGTTTCTATTAAACTAATCGCCTTCTTGTCACAAAAGTGGACTCACTACAAAATAGTGATTTGGCTCATGCATAAAAGTTCATTGCAGCTAAGTCGAACAATTTCTACACTCCAGTTTTTTTCATACACGTGTCAAGTTTGTTAACCAGATATTACATGGTATAGCATTCGCACATACATTCATCAATTATTCATGAGTTGCGTATATCTCAGGAATAGGACATGTTTAGGACTTCATTTATAATTAATAGCAAATATGTTTCTGATATGGCAGGTACAGTTCTGGTCAATAATCTAAAACAGGTTTATGCAAAAGGCAGTAACTGAGTAGGGTTGTGAAATTGATAAAAGCTGCGAAAGCACTAGACACAATATTCATGAAGATATACCAATAAATAGGTTTGTGTTCCAATATTGTTATATGAGTTCGCAGTTGCCATAATCGTACCAAGACAGAACGATGTACTGACTAGGACCTTGATATTCGTACATCTAGTTTAAAATTCACAGCTGCATGTTATATCAGTGGTGATGAGGAGAGAGGAAAAAAAGAGCAGAAGAACTAACATTAATCAGTGGTTGGTGTGGACTAATTTTAGACAACAGAACTGTATAAGTATAGTTTCGTTAATAGATTATATTTATTTGAACATATACACCCCAGGCAAATGAAACGGAATCATGAAAAATGGGGAAAGAAAAGTGAGTATAATAAGCGCAAAAAATACAAATCATGGTATGAGGGTACTAATAGTTTAATATTGGGATAGAAGCAGTTCAATTAAGAAGAATACAACGAAGAAAGATTCAGCTAAATAATCTCCATCCTTAATTTAGGGGGAAATTCGATCATTTTTGGGGAAGCTTAATTAGTAAATGTTTTGAAAATTTAGCCAGAAAGCCTAAAATTTTAACTAATTTAGAGGGACGATATTGAACTGCATTACTAAGGCTTTAACACTTCTTACTGATTTGAGGAAAACTTCAGAGTATATCAGATGTTTTGCAAATAACATTTCAATGAACTGATGCAAAATTTAAACTTTTTTGCCTTCTACTTACAGGTGATTTCTAAAGCCTAACGCACATGTTCACCCTTATTTTTAATTTGTTTATGAACCTGTCATGCATAAACGTTCTTTCGGGAAGTAATAGTAAATAAACTATACAAGTATATCATAAAAATTATAATTTGTGATTATATTCGACTTGTTTTTGATGTTGGTGTTTTCTTAAATCTCTCTTCGAAGGTGTACTTTGAAGAAGAAAATTAATTGGCTATCTGTTCAATGAACGTAATATCAATATTATGTGTTGTCGAAAAACTGCGTAAAGTAACAACCATATTCATACCTATAAATGTACTCCTTCAAATCTCAAAGTGACATGTTGAAAAGATGATGTAAATACTTTTTCTGCGAATAACTCACAGTTTTGTCGGTGAGTAATTGCAAAGCCAGCTGAAAAAAATGATAAACTGAAGATGAACGTTTAGCTAAAGCTAATAAACACACAGATACTTTTAATCTATTTGAGGTTTGGATTTAGGAATAATGGTTCAGGACGTTTAGACACGCGCTTTGCCCAGTTAAATCCAAAACAAAGCAATCGATCTGGGTAAGTAACGGTTCTAAACAATATTACGACATTTACTCCTGCGATAATAACACAAAGTGTTTCCAGTTCTGGAAGGGGCTCCAAGTTCCGATCCAAATTGCACCCTTCCAGTTAAGATGAGCGTATCAACCGCAAGAGGATCAAATTCGATATGGCTGTCGCCACAATTAAGTATCAAATTAAAGCACATAATACAGTTCAGGATGAATCATAGAAACTCAAAAAGGGTACAAAAAGTAAAAACTATAATAAAATACAAATATTAACGTCCCAAAATGGGATTCAACAGACCACCAAAATGTAGAACAGAAAGAGTCAATAAGAACACATTACACAAGTGTACATGGAGGGATTTTCCTAAGCAAAGACTTCCAAAAAAGATTCTACACCGATCCGCAAAATCCCTCCATATAAAGCAAAACCCTTTTGACGCACAAGATCATGGTTCACTCTCATAACATAATCCACACTAGAAGAACGAATAGGACTTACAGCAGCAGTACACCTACCCAACCTCCTATCTGGATATGACCCATCAAGTTCACTACCTACCTTCACTTCAGTTTCTTCAATTACGTTCGTGATTCGTTAATCTATCGTAGCATGACCTAAAGGTCGTATAAACTCCATCCCATTAAACCACATGAAGACGAATGGCACGTCGTGAAGCTAGTCACATCCTATTGGGGACTTACTCTTCACATTATAAGTAGAATGAATCGTCAACCCCCCACCAATTGACCCGACCAGCAGACACGATGAAGTCATAATTACCAACTCGTCTACAGGAGTCCTTGAAGAATAATTATTACGCGAGGGTGAAATCTTCAATTTTGACATTTCCTCGCCTCCTAATGACTCTGAATGGCAAGATGTAGGAACACGATCCGATCCTCCATTTCCTAATATAGAGGAGGTTTGTTCAGTTTTTATCATCATCGACATTTCATTACTGACATTATGATTACCATGGTTATAACCATTGTCATCATGATTCACATTCATTGGACAAGTCAAGTTGTTTCTGCTACCACTAGCAACAGTAAAGTAAGACGCTTCAAATGTTGTACAACTCATCCCTCTTGATGAAAGAACAGCATTTGTATCACAGTCCAAAACCGGTAAATCCACTTGTTGTTCTTCATGTTCCATTTCAGGAACACATGTCTGACTACTATTGTCATTACTAGTCACAGCATCCGAACGAGAACGAAGTTTACGCTTCTTAGTCGTATTAGTATAATACACATGTCGTTCCTTCTCTACTTTCTCACGTTTAGCAGCTGTATATGAACGTAAAGTACGTTCGCCATGATGTCGATGGGTGCCTTTCAATGTTCCTCGATTATCATTATTACTATTACCCGCAACACTATTATCACTACTATTATTTCTGTTATTAGTTTTAGTAGCCGTAGTAGTAGAAGTAGTAGCACTCTTTCCATGACATCCATTCGACTTCTGTGTAATATTCATCTTCACTCGACTAACATTATTTCCATAACTACTAACGTGATTTATCTCATCTCTCTTAACACTGCTTGTAGTGCTCGTCCCAGGACTTGTGGTACATATCAGTGATGGTGGAGTGCAGCTCGATTCTTCATGCTGAATATTCAGCGAAACAGCATGATGAGAAAACTTAGATGACTTCTCATAGCTACCAGAACACTGATCGTGAACATTCCCAGTAGTGCCAGTAGTGTGACTGACGCTATTGCTACCGTCACCTACATCATCCACACTCGGACATCCAACCTTGTCATGAAATGAAGTACTCAATGAAACTACACTAGTGACAATTGTTGGAACCGCACAACTGACATTGACTCCACCCTCTTTACCATATGTTTCGTTATTCACACTTATCACACCGTAAACAGCCACATGATGCGTCACTTCGCCTCCATTGTTGTTATTATCCACAGTGGTTGACGAATTGCAAGCTAGTTGGCATGCTTCACTGCTACCACTAAAACTAACACCATTAAGACTACCCACTTCGTCATGGCTGCTTGGATCAGTATTCGTAGCTATACTCAAACCTAGATGAAAGTGAATCTGAGCAAACATCAGTCGTACTAGCTAAGCTACCATCATCGTTTGCTCCATCACTATGATACTCAGTGGAACTAGATACAGTAGTGCGTAGACGCACTGATCGCGCAGCAATATAAGATGCTGTGTCACCGTTCACGCTTCCTATTCTAGGATGGGCTCTATGTCGTGGCAAGCAATCAACTATACATGGAGGGTTCCGCTCACAAGCTTCGTCCAACCTATTACATCTTGTTCATTTATGTTTACTATATTCTTGACCGTTTGTTTGCTCGAATACAAATTCCCATTTCTTAAGCTCACATCTCGAACAGTTAGAGGACGTCTACCATTACGTCTGTCGGATCCTTCATGATCCTTAAACCATTTAATTTTTTCCCTCATCGCTGTATTCGAAATAGCCACCTTGTTTTTTATAGATTCTGACTTTTCAATAGAATAGGCATCAGCAATCTCTACATCATAGGGCTTACGTATTCGGCTGTCCGTTGACTGTACTTTACTAATATGATTAACAACTGTTTTTCTAAACTTCAGAACAGTTGTAGAATTCCTAGGTCCTGACAATTCGTTTTCACATCACGTCCTATTTTTGGGCGGTTCGCTAATCGTTCAAATCTACTACTTGCTACTTTTGCACGGGACGATATAAACTCGGCGAGCTCGGTAAATCCTCAAAATAAATAATTCTCCTAGATTTTGAAATTAATGCTTACCTTATTTTTTCAGTGGACCAACCTGCCTATAGGTGTTTCGTCATACTTCCGCACCAGATCACCGTTAGGTACGCTGTGTAACGTATTTCCTCTCATCTAGCCACAATCATAGTTATTTCACTCCTCGACAGGTCGGTCGGGTGAAATAAGTGCGGTAAGCATCAGTATTGGGGACCTGGAGAATCATGTATTTTGAAGATTTGTTTACTAATGTACACTGAGAAGACGAAATGTTTGTATGACAATCTTTTAACATTGCAATATGTCCAGTGAGTGCTGTATCGCATTAAGCTATTAACTATTATAAACTAGCGGTAAAACAAGAAAGAAGTCATCGGTTTTTTAAGATAGTCAAACGGTATTGGATTTCGAACAGCTGATCACTTTTGAGCCAAGGTCACTGGTCATTATGTGCCTTACCACGTTACGCAACCAGTATTAAGGTAAGAATGTTGTTGATGTTTCCAAAATTTTCTACTATTTTGACACTTTTTCATAAACTACTAGCAATTTGTCAGTCCCATGTATGAGCATATTATGACACCGGTTCCCAGCGTCATCACGTAAAACAGTTTTACAAATATAGAGTTTAAATTAATAAATCTGTACCTGAAGCATGGAAAGAGGACATAAAACTTACTATTGTAGTGACTGAGTTGACGAAAAGAGAAGGAATTATAGTGGCTTTTAATCTGCCTATATGTTTCGTACACTACATTGACATCCTCCACACATTACTAGCACTTTGATTTGTGTCCATTCCAGTAATTAGTCGTTGGGAAGATAAAGAAACATCATTTGTCTGTTTTTAACCGTTATGATCCCTAATCGCTCTATACATTCGATCTTAGTTCAAGGAGGTAAGGGCATCTCAGAAACACTTCTCACTAAGTGATGTGGAAATTAATTAAGTCACCTCTGTTCCTTGTAAGGGGAATAGGCTTAATTTAACCAGTCTCTCATACGGCAGGTTTTCGATTCCGGTGTTAGCTTATTTGGATACCAATATTCATTATATTGCACCTAGGAGCATTTGTAGACAAATAACAAATTCTAGACCATCCCGATAATTTGTGTTCCCAGGGTATTCGGTTCAGTAATCTGGGATACATTTTATCTGGTCTCATTGAGTGATCTGAGTAAAGCTTGTTCAACTGGTCGAGACTCCAAGTTCTTTAATGGCCTCAGTGTCCAGGGTGTTTACGGAGCGGTTTATATAAACCAGAAGGAAAGACACTTCTACAGTATACACATCTCCAAAGTAGTGTGAGAATACCTGGGTTTTACTGTAATCGGTCCCCACCAGTTACACAGTACTGTCTCCCCATAATTTGGGTATGCTGTCTCTTCTCGTATTCTGGTAGTCTGTGTACAAATAAAAATGTTCTGGGTATTCCCTGGACTCCTTAACTACCTTCTCTCCATAAAGTCTTCTAGACTTGCAGAGTATCGAGGTACGAGTATTCTGCACTTTCTGATATTAACATTTTGTTTGCCAATACCCCGTGTCCTTAATATATACATTATTTTCGTCCTGTGGATTAGGGCGCGAACCCCCTTACTGAAGTACGGTATGGTTTGAGCTGCCACATTGTTGTTAATAACGATATGTTAATCAAAGACTAGAACTGCATGGTTACTCTTATCTACGAACGGGACATAATCAGGGTTTCAGACGTCATTCTCAGTAGGTCAATGTGGAATCTAGTAAGGATGATTCGGAGTTCGGATTGTACCTATTTGAGTTTTTAACATGTTACACTAGAGCAATTTGTATAGTTGTCAGTTGGTTACTGTTAAAAAGGACTTTCCGACAATCTTGCCTGTAGATTTTCACAATCTGCTGAAGGTGCATTAAAGTCCCTCCAAATTAAATATCGACCACGTCAAGCTTGTCTGACAACTGATTTACCTCAGTTCGGGTTATGGCAGATCAAACCAATCAATGGCGTCTGTCCCTTGCATTTCAAGTGACAACTAACTAATTAGTATATTCCACTTTTTATGCAAGAAGGGTAATATAGTTGTGAATTTGAAGGAGTTCGCAGTATTCTTAAAAATAAAAGACACTCCTGGTTCCATGGTTTGATTCTTTCCTTTTTTATAAAATCTAGCTTAACTTTCTTTAGTAACAACTTGTAGTCGTTTTTCCTACTCAACCGATAATTGACTATGAGCAGATTTTCTCAGCTTGCTGCGGCTTCTGATCTCCAAGAACAACTATGGGACCTAAAATTGAATTCAGAGATTCAGTCGGTAGACAAAAACAAGTGTTCAAATTCAGTTAAAAAATCAAAGAAAAAGTCTCGTACTTCTTCGAAGTGTTCGACAGAGTCTGTTCGGTCGCATCACTCTAATATTGTTTTACAAGGTAGGTGTAATTTTAAATCTCTTTAGTTTTATTTTAACAATGTTTTCGTTAATACCTTTTTTAATGACAATTTACCAGGTTTCCCTAAGACTGTTTTAGGAAAACCTCTAGCATAAGGTAATCTCTTCAAAATCAAAATAGATTCAGAGATTCAGTCTGTGCTTTCGTTCATAGGTGTCTCCGAAGCATTGCTCATGTATCATGGGACAATTGAGTAAGCAATGCTATAATTAGGAAAGGAGTACTAGGTAAGGGTGACAAATCAATAGATGAAGTAGGGAATCTCCATTTGTCGAGGTGGTTAGGACATGTGTTACGTATGCCCAACCACTGACTGCCTCGTCAAGCTGTTCTGCGGTGTATTAATAGGTTGGAAGAAAGATAGGGGTGGCCAGACTAAAACATGGAAGAAATCCATGAGGTCACTGACAAGTGAACTGAGTCATGTTGGTAAGTGCAGGCTACCTGGTTTGGGTCCGTAAGGTGATAGTAATCGATGGTTAGAGACGTTGAATCACATGGCTCAAAACCGTTTGCAATGGCACAGGTGCATCCACTCTTTGTGTTCTCTCAAATCCTAAACTTCTTAATTCCTCATTTCTTTTTAAGTTTATTTCACTAGATTCTACTTCTTGAATAATATCTTCTAACTCTAATCTCTCCGATTACTGCTAATAACTTTACCACCTCTACCACTATGGGATTTGAATCGACAATTGCATCTCTGTGCTAATGTGGTCTGGCAATTTGAACTGATGTACGTACTTACTTACAAAGTTCTACGTTGCTGTTGATTGATTGATCAGTCTATGTATTTTATCACTGTGTGTGTCTTCTCTTCATCTTCGTATTTGCTGTGTTGGTTATTAAAACGAGCAAATATTTCTTGCATTTGGTTCTCTTACAAAACTAAGGAAATTCAAATGAGAATAAAAAGGTTCTTAGATGTATTGAGTTCACAGTGTTTACTTGCATCTCCCGCTATTCCATACAAGTTGGTAAGGTTGTGTAACTGGAAAAATGTTCTGATTTATCTAGCTCCGAAATAAGGTATTCATTAATAATTAATATGAACTGTGGTGTAGTTCAAGCTAGACAAGTTTTGAAGGATATTATTCTATCAGGATTTTAAGGTTCATGTATACATTTGACTTGATTTCATGGTTTTCACCTTCCGCATTTATCAACATAGTCTGACTATTAGATGTCTGGTTTATCGTGCACATATGCAGTCGGGTTTTTCTGGAATATATCGTGAATTCGTGTTGTAGTATAGTATTTCTAGTGGAAGAGCATGTTGTTTCTTCCGTTTAACGTATCAGAGCATCTAAGTTCAAGCAATTTAAACTTCCTAGCCTGGTAAAACTATGTTTATTGAGGTTTTGGCTATATTCAATGCATATGTATGTCGAAAATGATATTAAGTCAAATTCAGAGCTTGTGTAACTTTAAAAAAATAACTCTTAGGTTTGATAGATAGCGAAATATCACATCTAGTTAAAGCCCTCATTAATTTAAGGCATAATGTTAATCTATGAAATACTATATATACCTATACACTCATTTCGTGACAGTAAGTAATTCCCCTACAGGTTTATATTCTTACAACAAACTGTACCAATTGTTCGTTCAGCAAAACAATAACAACTGAATCAGTCAAATGGTAAGAATATATATATATATATATATATATATATATATATATATATATGCCATTGGTAGTAGTATTTCTATTATCGGATTGCCTTGGTAATTCCATCTCGCTGTGTTAAAGCCTGGTACAGGAACGTAAACCAACTTTACATGCATCAGGTTCTTGATGGAATCTCATTACTTTGGTTTTTCTATTTTTTAGACAACGCAGATAAAATAAACTATGATGGTTTGTACATTGAACCATGCGGATTTCGAAATGTCAGAAATTCTTGTTTCCTTAATGCTTCCCTCCAACTCCTACTCAATATTCCAGCTCTATGCTCAACTTTGTATAAATTTCGCGGGATATGCATTTCTTCATCTGAATCTGTTTTGAATGTTTCAAGCACTCAAGAAAAGAAAGCTCCTTTGACAGACCAACTGTAAGTTTACTATAATATTATTCTCTTGTAACTATGGTCAGTGTTAAGGTTAAGAAAGGATTAACTCCTGTGACAGTATTACTACTTAGCAGTGCTATAACACTCCGTTATCATTCATTAGTTTTGGTTAGTGTTACTGAGTATTATTTTAAACTTTTAGACTGTTGTTTATGGCTGTCTATTAATTGCGCATAAATAAGGACATTACTAATATTGTTTACTTTTAAGAAATATGTTAGCACATAGTGCTGGAATCTTAAATATCATGCCAGACTATTCATTATTTCCTCTAAGTCAGATATTGTCATCAAAGTATTGGTTAGTTTTATACTGCTCTTGTCTTTATTCAAATGTTTGACCACAAATTGTACAATGTGTACACAATACCTCTGTGTTCGGTTACATTCTATTTTTGCTATACATAAGAAGGCATTTAAAGAGTTGTAGTGTGTTTTACTCTTTCTACACTGGTTTGGAACAGTAAGATCAATTATCTTGGTTATACTAAGGTCAAATAAAGTTAATCGGGAGTCTCATCAATGCTGATGGCCTGATGTGTGATGAAAGCTCGATTGCCTTTTCCAACTAGCGTCACTGTTGTAACGCCAATCAACGCGCAGCTAACGCAGTCATACTTCATTTCATCTATGTTCCGCTAACAGTCACCTATGGCGCAGGCGAGATATCCGTTTGCTAACCAAAGGACGAGTGTACTGCACACCAGTTCGCTCCGTCCTACTATACGGATGCGAAACATGCCTGGTGAGAGTATAGGACATTCGTAGGTTCTGAGATAGTGGGGAAAATGTATAGCTTAGGTGGATGATTGTGGTGGTGTTTCGTTCTCTGAGCTGGCTTCAGCTCAGCAGCTCATTTATCAAATAAACATAAATGTACTCAGCTTTGTGGCATACTTCATTTGTGAGGGGTTTACTGATACTTCCACTACTACTACTTTACTTACTTACGCCTGTCACCCCCAATGGAGTATTGGCCGCCGACTAGTGTTCTCCAACCTACTCTGTACTGGGCTTCTCTTTCCAATTCTGTCCAATTTCCATTCATTCTTCTCATATCTGCCTACATTTCTCGGTGTAATGTGTTTCTTGGACTTCCTCTTTCCCTTTGACCTTGAGGATTCCAAGTGAGGGCTTGTCTTGTGACACAGTTTGGGTGCTTTCTGCAGTGTGTGTCTTATCCACTCCCACCGCTTCTTCCTGATTTCCTGCCTTGTTCTCTTCCACAATAGGTTGTTGCTGTCCGGCCAACGGAGTATTTTGCGTAGACAACTGTTAATGAATACTTGAGTCTTCTGGATGGTGGGTTTGGTAGTTCTCCAAGTTTCCTCTCAATATAGTAGAACTGTCTTGATATTTGTACGTGATAGCCCCAGAATAATGTAGTAGACAAAGCAGTGGGTTTAAATCTACAACTTGCTAGTTAGAAGTTGTTGCAACGGTTGCTTAAAATAATTCCCGGCTAAATCTTATTGCTTAGTATTCTTGACACAAAACACTGAACAAGTAACCCAAATCAAAACACGGTTGAACAGGAAAGATTATATTCCAAAATAGCAAGGAATAAGAAGCCGGAGGTGATGGCGAAAGCTAAGGCAAGAAGGCAAAAATAAATACAACGCTAGTCTATTTATAGCCTTTACATGAGAAAGCTTCTGGAAGAAAATTCACGTGATCGGCTGGATTAGATTTAACCAATCAGCATGCAGCTAATAATACGAGAATTTTCTATCCTGTTCTCCAAGCTTCGATCAGGCGCTGATTGGATAGGAAATTAGCCAATCAGCGCGCAGCAACGTAGTCATGCTTTAATTCCATCTGTGTCCCACTAACACCTCACCTTTGAGAAGATTCGTAGGATCTGGTGCTAGGGTCCAACTGCTTCCTGGGTGCCTTGCCACCAGTACTCTTACGAGCCGCCTGCTTTGTAGGAACCATATCTTTAAACGACCGTCGATTAATTGTTAAACCACTGTTTCCCTAGTCAAAGCCCGAGTAATGTGATTACTAGATTCACTAGTCCTTTAATATATCTGATACACTTCACGTGACAGGTGAACTCTATGCCCAATTGATGTGTATACAGCTTTTTTAAATGTATACTAAGTCGATATTCATTTTCTATATTCAATTTATTAAACAAGCGTGATAATTTCTGGTAGAGCACACTGGATCCCTAAATGAATATCTTTGAGAAGCTTGATTATGACAATAAAAGCGTACCGCTTTACCAAGACATACATCAATCCTATCTTCGTAGTTGTACAGCAATTTTAAAAAGAATCTCTGTCTTAATATACAGTTAAAGAAAGTAAATCAAAATGTTCAGTAGTTGATATTACATAAGTTGTATTGTTAGGGACAAATAAACTGTGTTTTTTTGTTCATTATGTCATTCTTTTATGTTGAATTAATGTGATATTCATTCAGTATAATATAAAAGCATGCATTTTGTGATCATAAAATACCAATAAAAATGATTTATACATAAAGAACTCTTGAATAAACCAATCCCACTAATCCCATCCAACATCGAAGTAACACCTACAGACCTCCCAGTTGATGTTAACTCGCTAACAATTAAAGAAATCGGCATGGCCATCAGATAAATCAAGATTGGCAAAGCAGAAGGACCAGACAACTTGCCAGCTGAATCACTAAAAGTAGACATGTCAGTAACTGCAAAGATGTTCCACTCTATCTTGAGCAGGATTCGGAAGGAAGAACAAGTACCAACACACTAGAAAAAAAGATACCAAAGAAAGGAGATTTCAGCAACTGTGAGAACTACATAGGCATCACTCTAGTCTCATTATCAGAAAAAGTCTTCAACAGAATGTTGTTAAACGGAATGAAAGATTCCGTAGACGATCACTTTCGAGATCATCAGACTGGATTGCGTAAGGATCAATCGTGTACCTACCAAATTGCAATACTACGAATCATTGTGAAACAGTCAGTTGAATGCAATTCTTCACTCTACATCAACTTCCTTGAATATTAGAAAGCATTCGACAATGTGGACAGGATGACACTGTGGAGGCTGCTTGGAAACTATGGCATGCTCCAGAAGATAATCAGCATCATACGGAATTTCTACGACGGGTTAGACTGCAAAACCGAGCATTGAGGGTAGCTCAAAAACTCATTCAAATGAAGACTGGTGTCACCAATACTCTTCCTCCTGGTGGTCGACTGGATTATGTAAACGTCAACATCTCAGGAGAAGCAAGGGACAGAGTGGACAGCTTGGATGCAGCTGGACGGTCTGGAATTCGTAGACGATCTAGCCCTTCAATCCCAAACACAACAACAAATGCAGGAGAAGACGACCAATGTAGCAACAGCGTCTGCAGCAGTAGGTCTCCACATACACAAGGGAAAAGGGAAAATTTGCTGAGGATCCGTTGGCCAAAGACCATCAGCAACAACCTCCTGTAGCAGAAAACAAACCAGATTTCGGTCGAGGAAGAAATTAGGAAAAATGATTTATTCATAAAACATAAATGAATGAAGTAGTTTATATCGTACTGTATTTTTGGAGGGTAAGGATCTTCGTCTGACATTAGTTTTATATCTTTCTAAGTGCATCCTACACTTTTCACCGTTTTTCCATTTTGAGTATCAATGCTTGTACAATTATAACACATGAACAAATGAATTCCTACATTGTGATTATTTTCTTGTATTATTTATCTCCTATAGATTGGAATTAATTGGAAAGCTCAATCCACAAGTAGTGAAGCATAAAACCATTGTGAATAATACTTCTCAATATTGCAATGGTTATAATAACAATAATAATAATAATGTTAATACCGATAATATTGTCAATAATGAAAGCAAAACAAAAGTAGATGGCAATTCGAATGATCCTATTCCCTCAACTTATAAACTATCACAGCCAAATGGTATACAACCCTTTGTGTTAAAGCATTTAATTACACCGGACCCAGTGTTTAGACAATTGCTTCATATGAATACAGGTTTTCAAGAAGATGCTGCTGTAAGTGTATACATGAGATATAAGTAAGGTGTTTCCTGCTTTGATATTGTTCCTTTTCGAGAAACTGTTTTTCAATAGTTTAGATTATGGAAGGGGCCTTTAGTGTTTGTTTGGTTTCATAGTTTACAAATTGGCCTTAGTTAAATAACTGGACACTTGTTTCATCCTAGCATGGAATTCTTCAGTAGCGCACACCCATAACTTAAACACAAATGTACGTACTGACGTTTGAGTCATATATAAGTTTTGTAGGAAGGATCAATGGTTAAGGTATTCAAATTTCAGTCAATAACTCATAGTTTCGAACCTTTCAATCTGAAAAACCGGATTGGTTATGTTCTTCACTCGTGTCTTATTAAGACATGATGATATGTGGCACACGAAGTAGCTGATGACCAAAATCCTGTTCACACATCATTTCTTTTGTTTAAGATCCTGGAGCTCATGTACACCATTGGTTCTGCATCACAGTTCGCAGATTCTCCTAGATGAATTCACTTACCCTGTTTAAAACATCATTCACTTCTAATCCTATCGTCTTTCTAAACAACACCTCACCTTATTAAAATGGTAAATAAGAACTCACTGGGAGAAGCTTTTAACGAATGATTATGTGGAAGTATTTCAAGGAAGAGCGAGAGAGTAAACTCTTTCTGCTCTCGGTGCAACAAGGGCATTTAGAGACCCATGGATTCATAGATTGTGCTTGAGCCATTGTGAGTAACTTGAAGTTTTATTTTTCCCTAATTTCTTTCATACAGGAATGCTTGACCTATCTGCTTACACAATTACATGAAGAAATGGGTTGTATGGTATCAGATAAGAATACAGATGTACATAATATGGGTGAAATAGATCAAAGTCAAAATGATTCAGAATGGATAGTTACTGGTCGAGCTGGGAAACATTATCCAGAAGCTAGAAAGGTTTGTTGTCATCAAAATGTTTGGTTATAGTAAATCTGTTTTTATTTATCAGTTAATTATGGCAGGGTGTCTTGTGACGCTGCAGTTAGGTAATTTCCGTGATACATGTCCTATCCACCTCCAGCGCTTCTTCCTAACTTCTTGCTCAGTTGGAATTTGGTTTGTTCTTTCACACAGTACGTTGTTTCTGATAGTGTCTGATCAATGGAAGGAGAAATAGTACAAAGTCATTTTAAAACTCAACTTTTGAAAAAATACAAGAAGCGCATGCATTTAGGCCATTGCTATCGATTGTAACCTATGTCATACAACCTCTTCAGTCACTGGTAGTGATAATCACGTAGGCTGTAACTAGGCAGTTGGGACCTACTACCACAACTCAAACAAGTAGTCATCAACACCATGGACTGATGCTATATGTCTTAGGGTTTGGCCTTCCCTGCTGCTCTATAGCAGCTACAAAAACTCGTCAAGACAGGCGTTTGTTCAACATATGTACGTATTGCATATCTCAACTATCTCAGTCAGTAAGAATCCACAAACTCTGCTCATTTTCTAACTTTATCTGGTATTATGTGTTTAACCTCAGCATTGCACATTTCAATATGTTCCGTTTATCATATTGTGGGAAAATCATGTTTGGTTGCAACAAATATTCTTGTTATTATTGAATAGAATGATCAGATTTGCTATTATATTTCTCAATCAGTAAAAACACATTAAGTGAAGATTAGGCAATGTTACAAATTATTTCGGTTATAGATTAGTGTCTATGAGGGGTGGCCATTTCTATCACTTGATCGCTATCATGATCTGCAGTGTCCTAGATATGATCGTGATATGTGTTAACTCCAGAAACCGGTGACTTGAGCGAGAAGGCACGAAAAGAAGAGGAAGTCTATACGGCCACCAAACCATATGTCTAAGGACTCGTCTAAAATGTATATATATATATATATATATATATTTATATTCTATGTCTTTGGAGAAGGAAGCCGTTCCTTTACTAATGATCTGTAGTAGTCTTCTAAGACATTTTCTGATGGTTGTCAAATGACTCTGTCATTCGGTCACTTCTAATTAGCTCACTATATCCATTGCCTAACCCGGAGTAGATAAAGGGGGTTCGAACCTGCGGCTTAGCGTCTGAAAGTTGAATACTTTAACCACGAAGCCATTGTACTTCAGAGTGACTAGATTTTAAATTGTTAACTATTGAATTTCACTCTAGTGAACAATTAGTATTTCATGCTCAATTTCAAAACCTGAAGGTGTTCGATGACAAAAACTGATATTAAACGACAGACAGACAGACAGATACAACGCAGAACTTCGTACGTAAGTACATCAGTTCAGGTTGCCATGCCCCATCAGCACAGAGACGCAACTGTCAGTTCAAATCCAACAGTGATAGCAATAACAGAAGTATTAGCAGTAATGGAGAAGACTAGGGAGCGAAGATATGATTTGAGAAGTATATTAAACAACAATTCGAATGCTAATAGGATAGATTGATTTTTCTAGTAAAACGACTTTTTTATGCAGGAAATATGATGCACAAAAGTATACATGATTATAAGTCATTAGAAATATAGTCATCAGTTTTTTAGGCTACCAAGTAGCCAAGCGAATGAAGCTTAAACTGTCAAACTTTATTCTTGCCCTGTTGTATCAATCAAATATAATTTAATGAAGACTGTATACATGGTTTTATGCCAATTAAATCACACAAAAGACAGATTTGGTCCATAAACGTGGGTTACGTGGTTACGAGTGAATGGATGCTCCCTGTAAGATTCGAATGTGCGTCGACCAGCTTCAGTCTTTGGCAGTCATATCGTAATTTATCACCGGCGAAGATAATATTTTAGAAGATATAGTAACCAATTAGGCAAAATAAAACATTCATAGCTCAAAATATGGATTTCTTGGGTCGGCGATGAAATTAAAGTAATTCTCAAGAAAAACTGCAGAATATTATGGTGGTATTCTTTCTTTCATAACATGGAGAATGAATTCTTGAGAACATGTACATATCCTGTGTAATCGTATTCACTATACAAACTCAATGAATTCGAAATTTCTGATTACATTAACATTGACAGAAGGAAAATGAAACAGGGAAAAAGAGTTTTTGTACAATTAAAACAAAAAAATAAAATCCGTCATTAATTTCTTTTTTTTTTAAAACATTTTTTCAACTTTCTTTATAGATCGAACTTGACGGTGGTCAAAGTCCTATTGCTTCATTATTTTGTGGTACACTTGTAACACGTTTCAATCTAGGCAAATCCGATAATAATTACAATACTTATAATTATTCATCTATGCATAATCATGCCAAAAAATCAGCTATTAAAGAGCCTTTTTTTATACTTCATGTACCTATTGACAATCCTATGGTAAGTGTATGTGTGTATTTATGTGTTCATCATCATCATGGTCAGATTCTAGTCAATTTTTTTTGTGAATGGTTGACACTTGTCTTTTTCTTAAATCACACAAACTGATCTTAACTAGACAATTATTGAAAACTTGAAAGAACCAAACGGCTATTTCACCCTAGTTTCGGTTTTTTCAGATGTGCGTGTCCATGACCGCTCTTCCGGGGATCAAACACAGGATCTTCGGTTTCGCACACCAATGCTTAACCTCATGACCCCTAAGTCAGGATCTAATGGTATTAGTCCGTAATCTAAATCTATCGACAGTATCGCGGAACGGTCACCCATTGTTTGCGTCGAATAACTGTTTAATAATGTCGTTATTAAGCCTACTTGGTAGAAGTGCTGACGCTTATTGAATTGGCAGATTCTTTCTGTCCTCTGCTTGCCCAGTTAGATGCACAAGCGAATTCCTCTTATTTACTTTCTATTGCATAACTCAACTACATATATGATCATACATACCAAATACAAAAACGTAATCTACTATAATTGGGAAATTTTAATCTTATTTTCTATTTTAAACTAATATATATATATATATATATATATATATATATATAAGTTATCATTTACGCACATCAGTCAGTCAATTACAACGTAGAGCTTCGTACGTATGTACATCAGTTCAGGTTGCCATATCACATTAGCACAGACACGCAGTTGTTGTTTCGAACAACGGAAGTATTAGCAGTAACGAGGAAGATTAGGGTTCAAAGATATTATTCAAGAAGTATAATTCATTGAGAGAAAGAGTAAGATAGGTGATGAGAAATTCAGAAGATTAGACTTGAGAGAACACAATGAATGGATGCACCTGCGCTATTGCGAACGGTTTTGAGCCATGTAGTTCAAGGTCTCTAACCACCGGTTAGTATCGTCTCGCGGACCACAACCAGGTAGCCTACCAACATGACTCAGTCCACCTGTCAGTGATTTCATGGATTTCTGCCGTGTTTTGGTCTGGCCGCCCTTAGCTTCACTCCAACCTATCCCTACACCGCAAAACATACGTAGCACTTGTCCCGACCAAATCAACTGTTGAAGTTTCAATACTTCATCTATTGATATGCCATTTTTACTTAGTACACGTTTCCTAACAACAGCATTGTTTACTCGGTTGTCTCGTGATACACGAGCAATCCTTCGGATACATTCATAATCGAATACTAATAACCTACGAATATCCTTAACTCTTACCGGCCATGTTTCGCATCCATATAGGAGAACGGAGGGAACTGTTGCGCAGTACATTCGTCCCTTGGTTAGCAAACGGATATCTCACCAACGCCGTAAATGACGCAAGTTGGCAAAAGCCAATCGAGCCTTTTCTATGTGTGCTGAGGTTTCGTCAGGACTGATGAGACTCCCAAGATAAGTGAAGAAGTCAACACGCTCAACTGCTTCACTCCCTATCACTTAGTCAGGTGCCAATACAAGCCAATCCTGAAAGAAAATTTTGCATTTCGACGGTTAGAATCACATCCCGAATATGCTTGAACTGTTGCTTAGTGTGGTCAGAAGACTGCATTTTGTCAGGGTATTCACCAAGTAGAACTCTGTCATTGGCATATTCTAAGTCAACAAGCGAGTCTCCTGGTAGAAGGTCCACCTCTGAAAAGTTAAACGAAGATAATTTTATATCTAGAAGCAAGTCTATGACAAAATTCAGCAAGAACGGAGAAACTAGACGTCTCTGACGGAGACTACTTGAAGTAATAAATTCCGATGACATTTCTCTATAAGCTGTAACTGGACCATTAGTGTTCGAGTAGAGAGCTTGTATAAGGTTAAACTACCTCTCGGTTACACCTTTTAATGACAGATACTACCACAGAACCTCAACATCGACAGAGTGAAATACCACCTTAAGGTCCAGGACGACAACTATTGTCGGACACCTAAATGTTTGTCAGTGTTCTGGGACGTCACTTAGTATGAATATCTGGTCTATACAGCCACGTCCGGGTCTGAAACCAGCCTGGTTTTCTCGAGTCTGCTCTTCACGAGCTTTAGTTAGGTGTCCAAGGATAATCGAGGCTAACAATTTAGACACTATATTAGTTAGACTGAATTAAATGTACTGTCTGATGTGTAACAAGGGAAAGTAAGGTGTGATTGACCACTGAATGTGAATAGACTATTTTAGATACGGATTTCCTTTCTTAAAATTGACTGTTACTCTAAACTGAGTGTAAAATAATTGTAATTGTATTTGATGTGTGGCCATGAAAGGAAAATATGATTGGTCATCAATCGTGGTCAAAAAGTCACAGCTTATTGGCTATTAAATATATAATTTCGAATTCGAACTCAGTGAGTAAATTTAGTCGTGACCTATTAATCTTGTAATAATGTGATTACAGTTTATATGTAAATAGATCAATTCAGTAATCTAGTCTAGTAGGGACAAAATTTCAACTATTAACTGTGTTATTTTATTTTAATAGTTGTTTGATGCACGAAAACGTCAAGACTAGATGGAATATCAGTATGTTTAGGGAAGACAGTTTAACTAACAAAATATGTACACCTAGTCTTCAGACTTCCATTTGCAAAACAAGCAGACTATTGGCTGTCTTCTTCCACATGTCTTCTATTCTTCAAAACACTTGGATCACTCCATACATCCGGATTAGACACTTTTCTTTTCTCCAGCAGTAACTTCTGGGCGACACTCCACTTTATACCATTTAGATACCATACTGCGAGTAGTATTGGCCACAGTAGTAGTTTAACGTGGTTGAATAATAAGTACAAATACTCGTCTATATATATATATATATATATATATATATAGTAAAGGAAGTCTTTTTTACCAACGATATATATTCGTCCTATAGGATATTTTTTTGGTGGTCATCAAATGTCCTTCTCACTTGACCACTTCTGGATCGGCTCAATATATTGATACATTTTCCTTCAAACATTTGACGATTATAGGAATAACCTGGAAAAACATCTTGAGCGTTTATTTATTTGAATTGTTGGAGTTATATAACGACCTTTTCACAATATTAAGGTAGGAAAACCGATAATCATTGAAAAATCGGTAAAATTCCCGAATTCATTAGATTCTTACAAGTTGGATTATTTCCGTTGCGAATGTCTTTTGATTGATACAAAAACTTTGTATCAATCAAAATTCACGTGATCATTTTAAGAATCGTTCAAACTTATCCCTACACTATTATACTTTTATCCTAAGTTCGCATTTCCTTGTTAACGAGACTTTAGTTAGAAAAAAGTTTATTGTACAGTCGATCATACTATGAAAATAACATGTTGTAAGAGCAAATATGCATGACTATCTTACTTCTCCTCAGTTGACATCTATTCGAAACACAATACTCTTTTTTCATTTATAAGAAAAAAAATATTTGTAAACCCATAAGACTCCAAAGCATTTACTATTCTTCTCTTGAATGTATGAGTTATAAGCCAACATAAAACCAGTAATTGTATTTCATTTTCATTAAATTTTTACAAATACAAATTCTGCACTCATCGGAAAGATAAAAAATGCAAGGTTATCTTCAACGTTACATGAAGTCTTGAGTAACAGTATGATTTCATTGGTCGAATCGATTATGCATTCACTCATGGGACCGATTAGTATATTTCAAATGAATGGAAAATTCAATCAGTAGCTTCAGTCTGTCAGTGAATCACATTCAATATAAAGCCTTGCCATATATTTTTTTTTTCAACGTTATCTACTTCAATCAGTGTCATTTGTAATCGCTTCTCTGTCATTACATACTCACGTGATCGGTCTTCACTTTTGAACAAACGTAAATAATTTAAACAGCATGTGACTATTGAGTTATTCTCACCTTCCTATTGTTTTCATAGAAAGTTGTAACCTTCACTATATACATACACCACCCGTGTTCATGTCCTTGTACGCTTTGTTTGTGTTTATGTTGATAAGTTAGCCTAATTGATTCTTGATCAAATATTTTTAAGCTAATAAATTATTGGCCTTAAATATTTAAAGTTAAAGGTTAGTCAGTTAGTCAGCTGCAGTATAGCAGCACCCGACCGTAGCTGCTACCTTGACGTGGTGGTCGGGCTTGCCTATCGTGATGACCCAACCGAACTAAACTGGCTGGAACATATGTTCCTGCAGGTCCTACCATGCCAGACAGGTCGATTGGAGAACGATGAGACTAAAAGCAGCTACTCTAGGTCTGAGGGTGAAGTCGTACTGCTGACTGTGATGGAGGGGTGTGACAGCAGTAAGGTGTTTCCCTCGGACAACTAGCATCTGCAGCGATGCTGCCTTCTCACAAGGAAGGAAGGGTTAGAAAAAGTCGACCCTAAAAATGTCACACCTCCCCTACCTCACGGATTTCCGTCTCCTTGGGTAAGGGTGCCCACTAAGGGCCTTTAAGAACGGAGCTAATCCTCTAAATACCTTTCATAAAAAGGCCGTGCGTGACCGGCCTCAAGCAGTTGTCCCTCGGGCTCTGCGGTCACGCACCAACACTAATCCGTCTTCCTTTTCAGGTCCCTCAAGAAACAACCTTCCACGGTGTGGGCAGCCGGGAAGTGACAACCGCCCTCATACCCGTAACAGCACGCGAGACCGAATTAGTCAAAATCAAATCTGACTGACTGAATATAGCAGCACTTGGTACGTACGCATATCAGTTCTAGTTATCACACCACATTAACACAGAGAAAATGGAATTGTCAATGCAAGTCCCATAGTGGGAGTGGTTAGTAGGAGTATTCCAACTAATTGAAAAGATTCCGGGACCGAAGACATAATTCAAGAAGTATGTATGACCCAGTGAAATAAATTTAAAAAAACAAACAAGAAAAGAGCATGAGGAATTCAGTGGATTAGAATTTCGGAGAAAACACACAAAGAATGAATAAAACTGAGATTTAATTATTTGTTGTTGTTATTAGTATTCGCTTATCCACCTTTGTATTTGTAATGTTACTGACAACTTGATATTTTGTTATAAAAAATATTTTACAGGTTAATTCTGTGGAATCCGCTTTACGTTGTTTAGCTGAACTTGAAGAAATTACTGATTATCATAATTCATCAGATTCTTTCATGTCTTCAGTACGTCGTCGATCTACCGTAGATCGTCTTCCACCATATTTAATGATACAATTAAAACGTTTTTACAATGAATCTAAAATTAAAACTGTACAAAATATCAATACATCTGTAAATCAATTAAACTCATCAGTCACATCCAAAACCTCTTCTGTAATTATTCGTAAACATTTGAAATCAGTTAATATTCAATCTAAACTTGTTATACCAAAAGGTTAGTTTGAAATGTGATCATGAATAATGTTTGTGTAATTTCAATATTAATATAATATCGATGATTTTGATCTGACTTATTAAATATGACTTATTGGTACAACATACATTTGGCTGGCCGAATCGATATAGTTGAAACGGTTGGAATATTTGATTGAAACTCAAACACCTTTATTGCTTATCATCGTTTCTATCAACCCGTTAAGTTCGGGTCGCAAACGTTATCCTAAATCTCGTGTTTTGGATGGAGAAGGCGGGATAATCTAGATGCAATAAGTGTATTTGCTGACGATTTCATGCTATCGAAAGAATATCGAAATTGTGCCAGAGAAAATGGGCGAAAGGTACAGAGCAGCAAAAGCAAGATGGTGACCGACGGAAAGGAAAGTGCGTTACAAACAACATGTTCGATAAAGCGTTCACTGATGCAATTGGCTCTAGTAATGAATGTTGCTAACTAACCAATCGTGTTTTTTTCCGTACAATATTTACACTCCAATCCGTTTGTGCAACTGAGTAGTATCATTAGTCTTCATAACTATACCTAATAATTTAATAAACACTCCACTTTCCCATTATCTTTATTGATCGAGGGTAATGACCGATGCCTTGTTTGTCTAATTTTCTAGTGTTAATCAAATTTTATCGATCAAGTTACATTGTGGCCACTAGTATAAGGAATTGGACATTATGTTGAGGTGGTTGAAAATAATCGGCATGAAACTGTTGAGTCGTAGTTTTATATTGATTAGTACTCGTCGGCAAGGCAAATCTGCAATCTTGAAGGAACTGGGATTTGAACCTGCGTCGCTCTCACGTTATTTTAGTCTGTATATGTATATAAATTCTTTTTTAGCTAATCTATGACATTTTTATACCGTTTTTATTTGATCTCTATTCATTTAGAACTTTTAAGTCAAGAAACACATTTCAGCAATACTGAACGTCATTATCAACTTCAAGCTGTAATATTTCATGTTGGTGAAACAGTTGAATCAGGTCATTATACAATTGCTGTACGTATAAATCATTCTTTAGAAAAATCTAAAAACCCTACTATTCCCATGTTTATGTATTTCGATGATGATCATGCTTGTTTATTAAATAATCCCGAAAGTATCAATCTCTTACTAACTACACATCGTCCATTAGACACAAGAAATGGTACATTTCTTCTGCTGAAAAAACATGTTCCATCATCATCATCGACGTCATCATCATCATTATCACCGTCATTGTCTTCTCATCAACAGCATAATGCATTATTAACCACCAATATTGTTAATCATCCACGTACACCGTATATTCTACTGTATGCATCACAATTAACTGTTTATTCATAACCTCAAATAATTGACGAAATGTACACATGTCATTTATCATCATTCGATCATGCTATGCTTTCTTGTATGCGTGTGTGTGTGTGTGTTGGCATTTCAATTCTTCTTCTTACTATTATCATTATCATTATTATTATGCTCTGATCTTGTCTATTTCTTCATGTGTTTATAGTTTTAAATTTTTCTATTGTGTAATTTGTTTGCTTTTCTTTTTTTCGTTTTTAAAAAAAATTATTTTTCCTGTTGTTTTTTTAATTAGAATAGAAAAAAAACTTGAAATTGTTAATTTTCTTTTCTTTTCCTTTCTTTTTTTTTACTACCGAAAATCAAAGTTTTATAATTTTTGTTTTCCTATCCAAATTTTATCGACAATTTAGTTTTTGTGTTTTCTGTGTGTGTGTTTGTTTTTTAATAAGAAGGGCGGGGAAAGTTAATAGTGTAGTAGTTAGTGGTATAGTTGTGGTGCGCGCTACTTATAAGTAGTATATAACGCAAGTGTAAACGTAATGTCTGGCAGCAGAAGATGGGGTAAGATCAAGAAAGGAAGAGTTAGAACACAATGGAATTTGTATGAAACGCATGAACAGTGGTGAAATGTCAGATAATGGATTGATGTTTTGCAAATTAACGGTTACGATATGGTTTTCCTATTTTACTGAGTAACTCTGTAATTTTCGTTAAATACAATTTGGTTGCCCTCACCTGTGTTCTCCTTCACTACATAGTGAAGAGGAAACATCACGTAACTGAATTAAATCTGTAGTTAAACTAACAAATTATTCAATAGCCTATATGGAGTTTTGATACAGTGTAGGTCACCCAATGACATGTGTACATGTGATTAGATGAACCAGGAAAATCGCTTACTGACTTAGAATATGCTCATGACATAGTTCTATTCGGTGAAGACGCTGACAAAATGCAGAGTCTTCTGACTACCCTAAGCAACAATGCGAGCATGTTCGGGATGCAGTTTTCCCCCCGAAATGCAAAATGTTGCTTCAAAACTGGGTTGCATCGGCACCTGAACTAGTGATAGAGATTGAAGTAGTTGAACGTGTAGACCGCTTCACTTATCTTGGGAGTCTCATCAGTGCTGATAGCCTGGTGACTGACGAAATCTCATCACGGATACAGAAAGCTCGATTGGCTTTTGCCAACCTGCGTCACTTATGGCGTAGGCGAGATATCCGTTTGCTAACCAAAGGACGAGTGTACCGTGCAGTAGCTCGCTCCGTCCTACTATACGGATGCGGAACATTGTCGTTAAGGTTGGAGGACTAGTCTTCGATCATCGATGTCTCCGAAGCATTGATCGTGTATCCTGGGACAACCGTATAAACAATGCTGTTATTAGGAAACGAGTTCTAGATAGGGATGGCAAATCAATAAATGAAGTAGTGAAACTTGATCACTTGAGGTGGTTGGGACATGTGTTACGTATGCCTAACCACCGACTGCCTAGACGGACAATGTTTAGTGGTGTAGGTTGGAAGAAACTTAAGGGCGGTCAAACCAAGACGTCGCAGAAATCCACTAAGTCACGGACAAGTGGACTGAGTCATGTTGGTAGATGTAGGCTACGTGGTTGGGGTCCGCTAGACGATAGTCAGTGATGGTTAGAGACCTTGAACGACATGGCTCAGAATCTTTTGTAATGGCGTAAGTGCATCCACTCTTTGTGTTCTCTCTAACCTTCTGAATTCCTCATTGTCTCTATCTTTCTCCTTCTAAATTTATCTCACTGAATTATACTTTTCGAATCATATCTTCGCTCCCTAATTTTCTTCATTACTGCTAATACTTCTATTATTGCTATCACTCCTGGATCTGAACTGACAGTTGCGTCTCTGTGCTGATGTGGTATGGCAACCTGAATTGTATCTGTCTGTCTGTCTGATTAGCCGAGAAAAATACTTTTCAAGCGATGAGAAATGAAACACTGATAGGCTTGATTATCTAGTGCACAGACGTATGTATATAGAATTCATTACATGTAAGAGATTCGGTTTAGGCGAAAAATACTCTCTTTCCATTCTCAGTCTTTTATCTCGAGTAATTATGCTTGTGTCTGTACAGAGTGTGTACCAGTATCCATTCTCAGACACTCCATGTTGTAAGAAATCTTATTATTTCTTGTAAATACTAGTATTCCTTAAATGAAAGGTTGTTATTTCCAATTACTGGGATTCAGTACTTTAATTGATCATTTTATGGTGTCTTAAGGATTTAATTTGTCCTACAGGTGTACCGTTAAATCTATGAACGTAATATTGGGCAATACGGAGTCGGTGGGAAAGCTTTAGTCAGAACAAGGATAACTTGGCTTTAAATTTTATCTGTTTCTAAGCATAAAAATAATTAGATCAGTACAATAATTAAGGAAATTACTTTTATCAAGTGAAACGATCAAACCTACAGACCAATATAAAGCGTGTCTTATGGAAATGAATAAAACTATTAGTCACATCAATATAATAAGATAATACTGTCCTTTAATTAGTAAGTCATTTACAACAAAGATAGATTACAGACATGTCAGGTCCGATCACGTGGTGAGCGCTTAAACCATGATTTGATTGGTTAGTTATGGAAATAACCGGACAGTGTCGTCATGTATGCGTCCTGAATGAATTGCCTTGCTATGGTGTGTTACCAAATGTTTCAGTATGTTTGGTGAGTGGTTAGTTGTAGAATGCAGGATAAGCGTTTTACCTGTCATATAATGAGATAAATGAGCAAAATTACATTGTTCACTCATTGTGATTGTTGTTTAACTCGGACTGTGTTTTAATTCAGTAAGATAAAATTACCCAGTACAATATTTGTTCTATTTTCAGTGTGATGTTTATCTAGAATCTCTGTATTGAATCAACATGAAGTATATTCAGCATGTCACGTAGCATGTTGTTTTAGATGTAAGTGACTTGTATCGAATTAAGAACCAGTCAGTGTATTTCCCACTGGAGTCGTCACCTTTTGGAGGCAGTAATTCTTAGTTTGTAGTAGTTCTTGTGTCATTTCATGTCATGGGAATAGTTGTGGTCCTTCGTTTGAAATATGAGTATTAGGACAATGCGGATAGTTTCACCCTAGCGTTCGTTTACTTGATGTTTGAATAGTTCTGATTCTATTAAGCAAATCACAACAATAAAATATTGTCCGTTTCTGCGTACTATTGGTTTATTTTTCTTTCGGAAATAGACTTTCAGCGTTACTTGACAACCTGATAATATTAATTTGAATATTGTTTGTAAGGTTTTTTACTTTCCTATGATTCATATGGAATGTCAGTTTTGAATAATCCTTGTTAGGATATGCACTTCGTTAAACGGATTGTTGAACCATTGTAGTTTAGTGATGAAGATCTGACGTTTCATGATATAGTTATAGTTTCACTGTTAACGCCAACACTAGGATCCAAGTAAAAACAACTGGCTAATTTCATTCAGGACATAACATCTCTCTTAGATTCCATTACTAGTTCTTACCTGGAATATAATTAATAAGTTAAGCTGATGAAAAATGAACTGTGGTAATAATGAATACTTTCTTAAGAATTATTTTAAGCGTCCTGTTCTGTCACGAAGCACGTATGCAATGGCGGCTATCCTGGCTTTTGTTGATTTGTCATCTGATGTAAGTGCTTGACGAAAATCAGATTGTCAATTTTTTGAATATTTTTTCAAACAAAACTTATAATTAGGAATAAAGATGCATATTGAGGCAACTAGTAGTTTATGATAACTGTTATATTTCCAGTGATATTTTTCAACCACAAAAACTGTTAAATACTACAAAATAAGTGAAACAAGGGAGTAAAACTTTTAGAATTAATTATTCTACGGCGATTTATTATTCTTGTACTAAATATTCAGTTGGTAGTATTTTTTAAATCACATCAACTGCAAAGTTTCATTTCAGTGAGTAGCTATTGACGTATCTTTTACAGTTTAGAAATTACACTAGATCGACTACATACAGCTACTTACTCTATCCCACAAATGACCTATTCATGCTGAGGGTGTAATTTCTTACATTTGATGTGTTGTTTATCTGTGACTGTAATGAGCTAACCTGTAAGTTTTCAAGTCATAAAAATACAGTAAATTCATTGGCTTTTATCGTGTTCTGATTGGTCGTTGGAACTTGGGAAATTTGTATGAACCAATAAGCTTTATCATATCCAGTTGTTTGTAGCGAGTGGTTATTGGTTTTATTAGTCAAGCAAATGTTATTGATTAAATGGAATACACATCATGGAACATTGATAATCAACAAGGCACTATATATGTTTCATGTTCACTACATAACAAGTGTTCAGACCCTCAAGGTTTTTATCACTTCTGAATGTGTGGAGTCAATCGGTTATGGAAACCAACTTCAAATGTTGAATAAGTCCATGTAACACCTTGATATTCATGTTAGCTGCGTTCGTGCTAGCTTAAAATTCATGATTGGAGTAGTTTATTCACAGGGCTTTTCACCACGATTTAGGATTATGAGGATCATATCATGGTGTATGCTATTCGTAACGGGGTTTCTAAGTAGTATATAGCGGAGTGTCACCTTGACGTTACTACTGGAGAGGTGTCGGATCCAGATGTGTGGCGCGATGAAAGTGTTTTTGGACTTGGAGTCTTCATTCATGAAAATATCATATTCAACTCTTAAACTCTGAAAACTTAATCTGAAGATGAACATTTCAAGAAACTCTACTTTCACAATTAGTCCTTATTTTAAAAACTTGATCTATGCAATGTGAGAAATGAATTTATGGCTGTAAATGTTACTGAATGGGACATTGAAAGAGGAAACCAATTCGGCGCATAATTTATCAGATTTTGAGTAAGCATAATGAAGTATTTTCTACATTAGTTTTTAAAATTTCCAAAACAAACTGATCAGCTTAAAATTTATTTTGAATATTTTCCCAGTTTCAAGAAATGTCAATAAATCTCCTTGGCATAAATTATCGAATTTAAGTCAGTTATGATTATTATTGATTTGTGTTAGTTTTTGGATCTTACCATTTCAAACAATCAATACAACTGAATTCATCTTCACTTCATTGTACAAGCTACTGGGTATGTAGACTCCGTAGCAATGTGGGTAACATAATGGCTAGTTAAGCGATAAGTATTGGGTTTGAGTGGTGTAGAGGACACCAATTCCGAGACGCAGGTACATCCAGCTGACGAGTCCCAATTAAGATGAAGCGCAGGAACTGGAT